TTTTTATAAGTGCGGTCTGACATCTAACGTTAGTTTCATAAAGTGCATTATAAAATAATAGTGGCGACATCTTTGCGGTTTAGGTGGCAACTAAAATAATGGTGGTAATAAAGTGTTCTGCATTTAACGATAAAATATTAGTCCCCAATAATGAAGACAGATGTCAGCACAATGAATTCTACTTTGATTATTTTAATATTAACCAAAAACTCGGGCAAAGCTATAAACATTTTGGCCATTTTGGGATTTGTGTCGTTCGCTGTCAAAGAAGCAAACCACGAAACTCGAAAATTAAACATTTCGTTCCTGTATTATAGCCTGCTCCTTTGCGTTATAGCGTTTGTGGATTGCCATAGGAAAGGGTGGGCGAACGAACGGCCGTCCGTAAAAGATTTTTTGACGATTTTAATAAAGTATCTGTTTCCAATACACGAGTTAAATCGCCATAAGATTATGCCGCAATAAATAAGAATTTTAAACCGGTGATCATTTTAAAGACTTGAGAGTTAAGTTTCATGTGAGTTAGGTTAGATACAAGATTTGTAAAAATTTAAAACGCCCAAACTAATCTGACCTAACCTAACTAGCACGCTAACCTAACCTCACTTAAATTTTATTTTAACCTTCGATCTCCTCGCACATTATATTCTCCTGATACAAGATTTCTGAGCTAAACTAACTAGCACGCTAACCTAACCTCACTTAAATTTTATTTTAACCTTCGATCTCCTCGCACATTATATTCTCCTGATACCAGATTTCTGAGCTAACCTAACTAGCACGCTAACCTAACCTCACTTAAATTTTATTTTAACCTTCGATCTCCTCGCACATATATTCTCCTGATACCAGATTTCTGAGCTAACCTAACTAGCACGCTAACCTAACCTCACTAAAATTTTATTTTAAACTTCGATCTCCTCGCACATTATATTCTCCTGATACCAGATTTCTGAGCTAACCTAACTAGCACGCTAACCTAACCTCACTTAAATTTTATTTTAACCTTCGATCTCCTCGCACATTATATTCTCCTGATACAAGATTTCTGAGCTAACCTAACTAGCACGCTAACCTAACCTCACTTAAATTTTATTTTAACCTTCGATCTCCTCGCACATTATATTCTCCTGTTACAAGATTTTTGAGCTAACCTAACTAGCACGGTAACCTAACCTCACTTAAATTTTATTTTAACCTTCGATCTCCTCGCACATTATATTCTCCTGTTACAAGATTTTTGAGCTAAACTAACTAGCACGCTAACCTAACCTCACTTAAATTTTATTTTAACCTTCGATCGCCTCGCACATTATATTCTCCTGATACAAGATTTCTGAGCTAACCTAACTAGCACGCTAACCTAACCTCATTTAAAACTAAAACTAGGAGAACAGAATGCACGAAGAAGTCGTTTTCTATCACGCTGAGAAATATTTCAAAGTTTAATTTCGCCTAAAATAATTTCAATTCTGTATCAGGATCATATGATGTGCGAGGAGGTGTTTCTTTTCCTAATACTACACCTGTTACTTGTCGACAAACTTATGCAAAAGGTGTCGTGCTGTGCTACTAGGAGAACATAATATACGAAGAGGTCTCTTTCTAGCTCTGTCAGAATTATTTCAAAGCTTTCATTCGATTTAAAAATTTGCCAATTCCGTATCAGGATCATATGACTGCGAGGAGGTGTTTCTTTTCCTAATACTACACCTGTTACTTGTCGACAAACTTATGCAAAAGGTGTCGTGCTACTAGGAGAACATAATATTCGAAGAGGTCTCTTTCTAGCTCTGTCAGATTTATTTCAAAGCTTTCATTTGATTTAAAAATTTGCCAATTCTGTATCAGGATCATATGACTGCGAGGAGGTGTTTCTTTTCCTAATACTACACCTGTTACTTGTCGACAAACTTATGCAAAAGGTGTCGTGCTACTAGGAGAACATAATATACGAAGAGGTCTCTATCTAGCTCTGTCAGAATTATTTCAAAGCTTTCATTCGATTTAAAAATTTGCCAATTCTGTATCAGGATCATATGACTGCGAGGAGGTGTTTCTTTTCCTAATACTACACCTGTTACTTGTCGACAAACTTATGCAAAAGGTGTCGTGCTACTAGGAGAACATAATATACGAAGAGGTCTCTTTCTATCTCTGTCAGAATTATTTCAAAGCTTCCATTCGATTTAAACATTTGCCAATTCTGTATCAGGATCATATGAGTGCGAGGAGGTGTTTCTTTTCCTAATTCTCGACCTGTTTACTTGTCGACAAACATATGCAAAAGGTGTCGTGCTACTAGGAGAACATAATATATGAAGAGGTCTTTTTCTACTCTGTCAGAATTATTTCAAAGCTTTCATTCGATTTAAAATTTGCCATTCTGTATCAGGATCATATGAGTGCGAGGAGGTCTTTCTTTTCCTAATACTACACCTGTTTACTTGTCGACAAACTTATGCAAAAGGTGTCGTGCTACTAGGAGAACATAATATACGAAGAGGTCTTTTTCTAGCTCTGTCAGAATTATTTCAAAGCTTTCATTCGATTTAAAATTTGCAATTCTGTATCAGGATCATATGAGTGCGAGGAGGTGTTTCTTTTCTAATACTACACCTGTTACTTTTCGACAAACTATGCAAAAGGTGTCGTGCTACTAGGAGAACATAATATACGAAGAGGTTTTTTTCTATCTCTGTCAGAATTATTTCAAAGCTTTCATTCGATTTAAAAATTTGCCAATTCTGTATCAGGATCATATGAGTGCGAGGAGGTGTTTCTTTTCTTAATACTACACCTGTTACTTTTCGACAAAACTATGCAAAAGGTGTCGTGCTACTAGGAGAACATAATATACGAAGAGGTCTTTTCTAGCTCTGTCAGAATTATTTCAAAGCTTTCATTCGATTTAAAAATTGCCAATTCTGTATCAGGATCATATGAGTGCGAGGAGGTGTTTCTTTTTTAATACTACACCTGTTACTTTTCGACAAAACTATGCAAAAGGTGTCGTGCTACTAGGAGAACATAATATACGAAGAGGTCTTTTCTAGCTCTGTCAGAATTATTTCAAAGCTTTCATTCGATTTAAAAATTTGCCAATTCTGTATCAGGATCATATGAGTGCGAGGAGGTGTTTCTTTTTTAATACTACACCTGTTACTTTTCGACAAAACTATGCAAAAGGTGTCGTGCTACTAGGAGAACATAATATATGAAGAGGTCTTTTTCTATCTCTGTCAGAATTATTTCAAAGCTTTCATTCGATTTAAACATTTGCCAATTCTGTATCAGGATCATATGAGTGCGAGGAGGTGTTTCTTTTCCTAATACTACACCTGGTACTTTTCGACAAACTATGCAAAAGGTGTCGTGCTACTAGGAGAACATAATATATGAAGAGGTCTTTTTCTATCTCTGTCAGAATTATTTCAAAGCTTTCATTCGATTTAAAAATTTGCCAATTCTGTATCAGGATCATATTATGAGTGCGAGGAGGTGTTTCTTTTCCTAATACTACACCTGTTACTTGTCGACAAAACTTATGCAAAAGGTGTCGTGCTACTAGGAGAACATAATATACGAAGAGGTCTTTTTCTAGCTCTGTCAGAATTATTTCAAAGCTTTCATTCGATTTAAAATTTGCCAATTCTGTATCAGGATCATATGAGTGCGAGGAGGTGTTTCTTTTCCTAATACTACACCTGTTACTTTTCGACAAAACTATGCAAAAGGTGTCGTGCTACTAGGAGAACATAATATACGAAGAGGTCTTTTTCTAGCTCTGTCAGAATTATTTCAAAGCTTTCATTCGATTTAAAAATTTGCCAATTCTGTATCAGGATCATATGAGTGCGAGGAGGTGTTTCTTTTCCTAATACTACACCTGTTACTTGTCGACAAACTTATGCAAAAGGTGTCGTGCTACTAGGAGAACATAATATACGAAGAGGTCTTTTTCTAGCTCTGTCAGAATTATTTCAAAGCTTTCATTCGATTTAAAAATTTGCCAATTCTGTATCAGGATCATATGAGTGCGAGGAGGTGTTTCTTTTCCTAATACTACACCTGTTACTTGTCGACAAACTTATGCAAAAGGTGTCGTGCTACTAGGAGAACATAATATACGAAGAGGTCTTTTTCTAGCTCTGTCAGAATTATTTCAAAGCTTTCATTCGATTTAAAAATTTGCCAATTCTGTATCAGGATCATATGAGTGCGAGAGGTGTTTCTTTTCCTAATACTACACCTGTTACTTGTCGACAAACTTATGCAAAAGGTGTCTTGCTACTAGGAGAACATAATATACGAAGAGGTCTTTTTCTAGCTCTGTCAGAATTATTTCAAAGCTTTCATTCGATTTAAAAATTTGCCAATTCTGTGTCAGGATCATATGAGTGCGAGGAGGTGTTTCTTTTCCTAACACTACACCTGTTACTTGTCGACAATCTTATGCAAAAGGTGTGCTACTAGGAGAACATAATATACGAAGAGGTCTTTTTCTAGCTCTGTCAGAATTATTTCAAAGCTTTCATTCGATTTAAAAATTTGCCAATTCTGTATCAGGATCATATGAGTGCGAGGAGGTGTTTCTTTTCCTAATACTACACCTGTTACTTGTCGACAAACTTATGCAAAAGGTGTCGTGCTACTAGGAGAACATAATATACGAAGAGGTCTTTTTCTAGCTCTGTCAGAATTATTTCAAAGCTTTCATTCGATTTAAAAATTGCCAATTCTATATCAGGATCATATGAGTGCGAGGAGGTGTTTCTTTTCCTAACACTACACCTGTTACTTGTCGACAAACTTATGCAAAAGGTGTCGTGGAACTTCAACTCCAAATTCTTGACCTCACACCCTGGCCTCGAGTTTGAATAAGTTCTGTCCAGCTTCAGGGCTTAGGATCCCAAGTAATAAATCCCGCACTCCAAGTCCCAAATTTTAGGTTTCAGTTGGAGCTGGAGTTTCAAATTAATAGGCATTTCCGTTCTTAGGTCATCGCGCTTGAACAGAACGAAGGCTTAGGTGACATCAAGCAGATCATAGTGAGTGGAAAATGGCCTACTCCGATTGAGCAAAAACCTGTCAACATCAACATCCTCTTCCAAGGCAAACCGGATCTGTCATCAAAGGTTAACATACTTTGGAACAGTCTTTCCGAGGATGCAAAGAACTCGCTCAACGTTAACATCGGCAGTTTGCCAACCGACCAGCAGGTAATAAGCCTAGGTACCCAATTGCTGCTGGGTTTGACTAATCCGTTGTGGTTTTAGGAACGAATCCTTTTGTACTTGTACCAATTGGCCCAAGACAAGGTGGGCAAAGTAGGCATAAAGATTGATTTGAGCCCGACGACGATTAAGACGGTAAGTTATCTGGGTCTCGCCACGGTTTCGCCACGTTTCTTTTGCAGGCCATAGACAAGGATAACAGCGGTCAACTGGTTGATATCAAACAGATCATAGTCAGCGGAAAGTGGCCCGAGCAAAAACCGGTTAACGTCAACATTCTCTTCCAAGGCAAACCAGACTTAGCGTCAAAGGTCAACATCCTCTGGAACAGTCTATCCGAGCCCTCAAAGGTAATTTCCCCCGGGGTTTTGGGGCGCATGATCATTCTCTCCGTTTCAGAACCTGCTCAACATAAACATTGGCAGCAAGTCACCCGAACAGCAGGTAAGCTCAAATGCAGGGTTCCAGGGTTGGGTCAGCTGACGCGCTTTGGTTTTAGGAACGAATCCTTTTGTACCTGTACAAATTGGCGCACGACAAGGTGGGTAAACCTGGGGTGAAGATTGACCTGAGCCCGACTACGATCAAGACGGTCATAGACAAGGACAATAAGGGCCAGCTGAACGATATGAAGCAGATCATCATCATCGGAAAATGGCCCGTACCTGGACAGGTAAGAGAATCATCGGCGAGTTCTGGAGACTAACCAGGAATCTTACAGGAGAAGCCTGTGAACATCAACATTCTCTTCCAAGGCAAACCGGATTTGGCATCAAAGGTCAATATACTATGGAACAGTCTGTCTGACAAGGCAAAGGTAATGAGCCCCCTTAGGATAGGCACGTGTTGACTTTCCTCTTGTAGAACACCATCAACGTAAGTCTGGGCGATATGCCAATCGATCATCAGGAACGAGTCCTTTTATACTTGTACAAACTGGCCCAGGATAAGGTCGGAAAGCCCGGTATTAAAATTGATTTGAACCCGGCGACTATTAAGACGGTAATTTTACTGGTAGTGTTTGGCCCTGGTATAATTTCTTTTGTAGGCCCTAGACAAGGATATCAATGATGAGCTCGAAGACATCCAGCAGGTGAGTCTCGACGACTCGTTGCGTTCGTGAATCTTAGTGGTTTCTTTCAGATCATCATCAACGGACGCTGGCCCCAGCCTGGTGAGGAAAATACGGTGAAAATCGACCTCCTCTTCCCCGACAAGCCCGACTTACAGTCGAAGGTCAATCTGCTGTGGAACAAACTGACCGACCAAGGAAAGGTAGTTGCGTTTGATAGCTGTGGTGTTTGGTGTTTGTAACCGACTTTTGTAGGACAATGTGAACAAGCTTTTGGGAGATCTCACCCCCGATCAACAGCGCCCCATCCTCCTCTACATCTACGATATCGCCAAGGAAAATTTGGTAAGTCTGACGATGCGTTTGTGTTGAGTTTGTGTAACAAATCGATCTGTAGAAGAAACCCAATACGCAATTGAACCTTGACACCAACACCATCACTACGGTAAGGCCACCACGGATACGTTTAGACAGTTGCTGACTTTCAATATTGTAGGTTATCAACATGGAGAAGAATAATAAACTGGAAGATATCAAGAAGATAATCATCGACGGAAAGTGGCCTGGGTCTGAAAACGTAAGTCTTTGCTACAGGTTGCGAGAATAGCACTAGGTCTGTCTCACTTGCAGGAGAACAAGGTGGTGAACGTCAATGTACTCTTCCCAGACAAGCCGGAGTTGCAGGTGAGTCATTGGGGACGCAACGACACTCTCACACACTTCAATTTTCAGTCAAAGGTCAACGTACTTTGGAACAGTCTCACGGACAACGCGAAGGATACCATCAATCAAAATATTGGAGACATGGAACCGGACCAACAAGCGCGAATTCTCTTGTACCTTCTCAAAACGATCGAGGACAAGGTGGTGAGTATCTCGCGCCTCGGGCCACCAAGTACCAAGTGATTAACTCGCGAGTGCTTTAGGGTCAACCCGGAGTGAAAGTCAACGTAAGCCCGGATACCATCCAAAAGGTGAGCGAGGAGTTTTCCAATCAAAGGCTGTAACCGATCTTTTGTTTAGATTATAATTAAGGACGAGAATGACGAATTGGGAGACATAAAGAACGTCATCATTACCGGAAAGTGGCCCCAGCCGGAGAAGGTAAGTGACCCAGTCAACCCCACGCGAAGCTTTACTCTTCACTTTCCCCGCAGGAATACACAGTGAAAGTTAACACCCTCTTCCCCGACAAGCCCGACTTACAATCCAAGGTTGACCTGCTCTGGGACAAGTTGACTGACGAAGGAAAGGTAGGTGGCGCAGACTTTCGGCGGAAACTCACCAGGTCTTTGTAGGACAACGTCGATGATCGTCTGAAGGACTTGACACCCGACCAACAGAGACCCATCCTGCTCTACATTTACAACATCGCCAAGGAGAACCTCGATAAGCCTAACACGAAGTTGGACCTTGACACTGACACAATCGATAAGGTCATCACCTTGGAGAAGAACAACAACTTGGAGGACATAAAAAAGGTAAACCCTTCCGCTTGCGCATCTCTTTACCGTTTGGTTATTGCAGATCATCGCAAACGGAAAGTGGCCGAAACAAGGAGAGGATAAGGTCAAAATTAACCTACTCTTCCCCGACAAACCGGAACTGAAGGTAAGGCTCGACCACTTCGCCCAAATGCTCAACGTTTTTCATTTTCAGTCGAAAGTCCAACTGCTCTGGGACAGCCTGACTGACAACGCCAAGCATACCATCGACAGTAACGTGGGAAGTTTGAGACCCGAACAACAAGAGCGAATCCTTCTTTTCCTTCTCAGCCAATTGGAGGATCAAGTGGTGAGTGGACTAGGTCATTGGATAAATCCGCGAGTTATCACCGAAATGTTTTAGGGCAAACCTGGCGTGAAAATCGACGTGGACCAGGATACCATCCACAGGGTGAGCAAAAACCATACCATTTCCCGACCTTACCCTTTCCGTTGTAGATCGTGCTGAAGGAGCTGAACGACGACTTGGAAAACATCAAGGAGGTTATCGACAACGGTAAGTGGCCTACAACGCCGAAGACCCCAGAGGTAAGTCGACCACCTCAAAAGAATACCTGCTCATCGAGCTCTTGCAGGAAAACATTGTGAAAATCCACGACATGTTCCCTGACAAGCCGGACCTACAGGTAAGCAAAGTGGTTGTGTTCTTGGCTAATCTTAACACTTTAATAGTCCAAGATTGATCTTCTTTGGGACAAATTGACCGACAATGGAAAGGATAACATCAACAAACTCCTGAAGGACCTGAGCCCGGACAAACAAGTGCGTGTGACTTTACCACGGTCGATTGCTAACAGTCTGATTTCAGGCACCCGTTCTGCTGTACCTTTACGATATTGCCAAGGACACTTTGGTAAGTTTCCCATTTCGTCCGATGCGCTCTGTAATCATGCCCCTTGCAGAATAAGCCCAAGACCAAGCTTGATCTCGACAGTGACACGATCACCACGGTTATCAAACTCCAGGAGAAAGATAAACTGGGCGACATTCCACAGGTGAGCTGCGTTATTCAAGTTCTTTGCGCTGACGTGCTGCAATTTTAGATTATCACACTCGGAAGATGGCCCTCTGAGAGCGAACGACCAATTCAGGTACGTTTTCCGTTCTTTTGCGCCTGTAGTTACCACGAAAATTTTCACAGGGACTGACAACCACTCCCAAGACTGAGATTCACAAAATAAAGATTGATGAGCTCTTCCCCGACAAACCCGACTTGGAAGAGAAAGTTAAGCTACTTTGGGACAGCCTGACTGAAGACGCCAAGGTAAGCCGTCGGTGGTTAACAACAGAAGGCAATAAATCTTTGTTTCCCAGGACGCGATCGACAAGGAGATCGGAGACAAAAAACCCGAAGACCAGGTAAGTTTCCATAATCCTGTTCATAAAAACCTAACACTTTTCAATTTTAGGCCCCCATTCTCTTGTACCTTTTCAGACTGTTGGAAGACAAAGTCGTAAGTTAATCAAACCATTTTGGCCCGATCCCACTGAGCCTCAATCTTTGTTTAGGGTCAACCCAATGTGCAGATCGATGTCAAACCGGACACCATCCACAAGGTGAGTTTTTGAGTTGCGGAATTCGCGTTCTTGATACATTGGGTTTGCAGATTGTACTCAAAGACGAAGCTGGTGACTTGGATGACATTAGGACCGTAAGATAATTCGTTTTGGTTTGAAAGTTGTACTCATCCACTTTTATTTTAGATCATCCTCACCGGAAAGTGGCCCTCATCAGAGTCGACGACAACGCCAAAGACAGTGGTAATTTTTTTTGCAAATTGGGATCCCTGAAAAATCACTTACGAATTTTCTTTACCTGTTGCAGATCCATAAAATCCACATTGACGACATCTTCCCCGACAAGCCCGACTTGGAAGAAAAAGTCAAGCTACTTTGGGACAGCCTGACTGAAGACGCCAAGGTAAGCCATCGGTGGTTAACAACAGAAGGCAATAAATCTTTGTTTCTTAGGACGTGATCGATAAGGAGATTGGAGACAAAACACCCGAAGAACAGGTAAGTTTCCATTTCCTGTTCTTCCCAAAAACCTCACAAATGTTTCAATTGTAGGCTCCCATCCTCTTGTACCTCTTCAAGCTGTTGGAAGACAAAGTCGTAAGTTAATCGAACCATTTTTGCCTGATCCCACTGAGCCTTAACCTTTGTTTAGGGCCAACCCAATGTGCAGATCGATGTCAAACCGGACACCATCCACAAGGTGAGTTTTTGAACTGCGGAATTTGTGTTATTGACCCATCTCGTTTGCAGATTGTACTGAAAGACGAAACTGGTGAATTGGACGACATAAAGACCGTAAGTTCATTTCTTTTAGTCTGAAACTTGGACTAATCCGGTGTTATTTTAGATCATCCTCACCGGAAAGTGGCCCTCATCAGAGTCGACGACAACGCCAAAGACACAGGTAATTTTTGTGGCAAATTGGGATCCCTGACAAATCACCAATTCAGTTTTACTTACGAATTTTCTTTGCACGTTGCAGATCCATAAAATCCACATTGACGACATCTTCCCCGACAAGCCCGACTTGGAAGAAAAAGTCAAGCTACTTTGGGACAGTCTGACTGAAGACGCCAAGGTAAGCCATCAGTGGTTAACAACAGAAGGCAATAAATCTTTGTTTCTTAGGACGTGATCGATAAGGAGATTGGAGACAAAACACCCGAAGAACAGGTAAGTTTCCATTTCCTGTTCTTCTCAAAAACCTCACAAATGTTTCAATTGTAGGCTCCCATCCTCTTGTACCTCTTCAAGCTGTTGGAAGACAAAGTCGTAAGTTAGTCAAACCTTTCTTGCCTGATCCCACTGAGCCTTAACCTTTGTTTAGGGCCAACCCAATGTGCAGGTCGATGTCAAACCGGACACCATCCACAAGGTGAGTTTCTGAGCAGGATAATTTCGGATCTTTGACTAATGTTGTTTGCAGATTGTACTGAAAGAAGAAACTGGTGACTTGGATGACATTAAGACCGTAAGCCAGAAGGCTTAGAATCTAAAAATCAACTAAAAAAACTTTTATTTTAGATAATCGACACTGGAAAGTGGCCTAAAGAGGAAGGTACAACAACAACCACGGCAAAGACAGTTGATGTAAGTATTTAAGCTGCACAAGTCACCAAGAGTGTTGCTCTTCCGTGACCCTCGAGGCCAAAAGACCGTCATTCGCATTAATTAATTCTGTTGAATTACAGACACACAAAGTAAGGATTGACGACATCTTCCCTGATAAACCCGACCTGGAAGAAAAGATTAAGATACTCTGGGACAGTCTCACTGAGGAAGGAAAGGTAAGGACCGATATCTATAAAAGATGATAATTCATTTTACCTTAGGACGCGATCGATGAAGTAATAGGAGACAAGAAACCTGAAGAGCAGGTAATTTTTCACATCTCATTGTCCTTGCAAATCTCACACACCTCTTTTACAGGCTCCCATCCTCCTATACCTGTTCAAACTGTTGGAAGACAAAGTTGTAAGTCAACCCTGCTGTCTTTGTCTGTTTCCACTGACGCTTTGTTTTTTATTTAGGGTCAACCTAATGTGAAAGTCACTGTCGAACCAGATACCGTTGAAAAGGTCAGTTTTTCAGTAACACTTTTCGCATTGTTAACCAGTTTCGTTTGCAGATTGTGCTTAAAGAGGAACGTGGTGACTTGGATGACATTAAGACAGTAAGATAATTTCGTTTGGGCTGAAACGTGTACTCATCCAGTTTTATTTTAGATTATTCTAACCGGAGAGTGGCCCACATCTGGTACGGTAACCACGACTACCACACCAAAGACCGAGGAACCTGAGGTAAGTCAAGCACTAAACGTAAATGAAGAAATATTTAATCATATTACTCAAATTTTCAGAATGACAGAGTGAATATTCACGAAATCTTCCCCGACAAACCGGACCTACAGGTAAGCTAAGAGACATTAGCAAGCAACCCGAACTAACCTTCTTTATTTAACAGTCGAAGATTGACCTTCTTTGGGACAAATTAACACCAGAAGGAAAGGAAAACATCAACGATCTTTTGGAAGATCTACCTAAAGATAAAAAAGTAGGTATGACCTTATTTTAAACTCCCTCTGACCGTTTGGCTTTCAGGCGCCCATTTTGCTTTATATCTACGATATTGCCAAGGATACTCTCGTAAGTTTCCCACTTTATAATGAGTTCTCTTGTAATCATAAACTTTCTAGAATAAGCCCAAGACCAAGCTTGACCTCGACAAAGATACGATCACCACGGTGAGGAAGGCTAATTGTTTTAATGTATAGCTCAATGCCAATTTTAGGTTATCTTACGAGAGGAGAAAGACAAACTAGGAGATATACCACAGGTGAGTCAACAGTTTCAGGGAATCTTACTGACACTCTTGGCTTTCAGATCATCGATCTTGGAAGATGGCCAGAAGAGAGTGAGAGACCACTTAAGGTAAGTTTTTCTAATTGTCCCAGTGCTTCATTTACTAACTCTCTTTTTGCAAAATTTCTTTACAGGGAACTACCACAACCACGCCAAAAACCGTTGATGTAAGTATTATTTTACAAAGTTCAAAAGCAAGTTTCACGTACCCCTCCACGCCTCAAAATTAGACTGTTACATTTCTTAAAAAATCAAAATCCGATCACAATATCTCAAAATTACACTTACAATGAGCTACCCCTCTAAATTTCCGGTGAGGTGGATATTGTCGACCTTTAGCCATTCCTCTCGCGATTTTCTTTAGATGATTATATTATTTTCTCGTGAACCCAGTTCATAATAAACCTCCAATCTCTTATAACGTGCAAATGTTAATGTCATTCTGGTACATTTCAGGTACATAAGGTGAAAATTGACGAGCTCTTCCCAGACAAGCCCGACTTGGAAGAAAAGGTTAAGTTACTTTGGGACAGCCTAACAGAAGACGCAAAGGTAAGATATTGATGGAATTAGCATGAAATAAACCCTAGTATTTTAGGACGTCATCGATGAGGAATTGGGAGACAAGAAACCAGAAGAACAGGTAAGTTTTTTCTTTTAATTGCCCTTACAAATCTCACTCATATTCTTTTACAGGCTCCTGTCCTCTTGTACCTTTTTAAACTTTTGGAAGATAAACTCGTAAGTTAATCAAACTGCCTTTGTCCCACCCCACTGATCCTTTTTCTAAATTTAGGGTCAACCTAACGTGCAGGTTACTGTCGAACCGGACACCATCCACAAGGTGAGTTTCTGAGCAGGAAAACTTCGGATCTTTGACAAATGTTGTTTGCAGATTGTACTGAAAGAAGAAACTGGTGACTTGGATGACATTAAGACCGTAAGCTAGAAGGTTTAGGATCTAAAATTTAACTCAAAAAATGTTTATTTTAGATAATCGACACTGGAAAGTGGCCTAAAGAGGAAGGTACAACAACAACCACGGCAAAGACAGTTGATGTAAGTATTTAAGCTGCACAAGACACCAAGAGTGTTGCTCTTCCGTGGCCCTTGAGGCCAAAAGTCCATCATTCGCATTAATTAATTCTGTTGCATTATAGACACACAAAGTAAGGATTGACGAGATCTTCCCTGATAAACCCGACCTGGAAGAAAAGATTAAGTTACTCTGGGACAGCCTCACTGAGGAAGGAAAGGTAAGAGACCCATATCTATAAAAGATGATAATTCATTTTTTCTTAGGACGCAATCGATGAAGTTATAGGAGACAAGAAACCTGAAGAGCAGGTAATTTTTCACATATCATTGACCTTGCAAATCTCACACAACTCTGTTACAGGCCCCCATCCTCCTATACCTGTTCAAACTGCTGGAAGACAAAGTTGTAAGTGAATCCTGCTGTCTTTGTCTGATTCCGCTGACGCGTTGTTTTTTATTTAGGGTCAACCGAATGTGAAAGTCACTGTCGAACCAGATACCATTGAAAAGGTCAGTTTTTCAGTAACCCTTTTCGCATTGCTAACCAGTTTCGTTTGCAGATTGTGCTTAAAGAAGAACGTGGTGACTTGGATGACATTAAGACCGTAAGTTAATTTCGTTTGGTCTAAAACTTGCAGTCATCCAGTTTTATTTTAGATCATTCTAACCGGAGAATGGCCCACATCTGGTACGGTAACCACGACCACCACACCAAAGACCGAGGAACCTGAGGTAAGTCAAGCACTAAACGTAAAAGAAGAAATATTTAATCACATTATTCACATTTTCAGAATGACAGAGTGAATATTCACGAAATCTTCCCCGACAAACCAGACCTACAGGTAAGCTAAAAGAGATTAGCAAGCAACCCGGACTAACCTTCTTTATTTAACAGTCGAAGATTGACCTTCTTTGGGAAAAATTAACACCAGAAGGAAAAGAAAATATTAACGATCTTTTAGAAGACCTACCTAAGGATAAAAAAGTAGGTATGACCTTATTTTAAACTGCCCTCTGACCGTTTGGCTTTCAGGCGCCCATTTTGCTTTACATCTACGATATTGCCAAGGATACTCTCGTAAGTTTACCATTTTATAATGATTTCTCTTGTAATCATAAACTTTCTAGAATAAGCCCAAGACCAAGCTTGACCTCGACAAAGATACGATCACCACGGTGAGGAAGGCTAATTGTTTTAATGTATAGCTCAATGCCAATTTTAGGTTATCTTACGAGAGGAGAAAGACAAACTAGGAGATATACCACAGGTGAGTCTCATTTTTAAGGGGATATTTTCTGACATTCTGGACTTTCAGATCATCGAAATTGGAAGATGGCCAGATGAGAGTGAGAGACCACTTAAGGTAAGTTTTTCTAATGTCGCAGTTCTTCATTTACTAACTCTCTTTTTGCAAAATTTCTTTACAGGGAACTACCACAACCACGCCAAAAACCGTTGATGTAAGTATTTGAGCGGATAGTAGTGCTTTCAACTTATTTTACAAAGTTCAAAAGCAAGTTTCACGTACCCCTCCCCGCCTCAAATTTAGATCAGGGTTACTATTCTTAAAAAATCAAAATCCGATCACAATATCTCAAAATTACACTTACAATGAGCTACCCCTCTAAATTTCCGGTGAGGTGGATATCGTCGTCATTTAGCCATTCCTCTCGCGACTATCTTTAGAAGACTATTTTATTTTCTCTTGAATCAAGTTCATAATAAACCTTCAATCATTTATAGCGCGCAAATTTTAAAGTCATTCTGGTCCATTTCAGGTACATAAGGTGAAAATTGACGAGCTCTTCCCAGACAAGCCCGACTTGGAAGAAAAGGTTAAGTTACTTTGGGACAGCCTAACAGAAGACGCAAAGGTAAGATATTGATGGAATTAGCATGAGATAACCCTCGTTTTTTAGGACGTCATCGATGAGGAATTGGGAGACAAGAAACCAGAAGAACAGGTAAGTTTTGACTTTTGATTGCCCTTACAAATCTCACTCATATTCCTGTTACAGGCTCCTATCCTCTTGTACCTCTTTAAACTTTTGGAAGACAAACTCGTAAGTTAATCAAACTGCCTTTCCCCACCCTACTGATCCTTTTTCTAAATTTAGGGTCAACCTAACGTGCAGGTTAATGTCGAACCGGACACCATCCACAAGGTGAGTTTCAGGCAGGAAAATTTCGGATCTTTGACTAATGTTGTTTGCAGATTGTACTGAAAGAAGAAACTGGTGACTTGGATGACATTAAGACCGTAAGCTAGAAGGTTTAGGATCTAAAAATTAACTCAAAACATTTTTATTTTAGATAATCGACACTGGAAAGTGGCCTAAAGAGGAAGGTACAACAACAACCACGGCAAAGACAGTTGATGTAAGTATTTAAGCTGCACAAGCCACCAAGAGTGTTGCTCTTCCGTGGCCCTCGAGGCCAAAAGACCGTCATTCGCATTAATTAATTCTGTTGCATTATAGACACACAAAGTAAGGATTGACGATATCTTCCCGGATAAACCCGACTTGGAAGAAAAGATTAAAGTACTCTGGGATAGTCTCACTGAGGAAGGAAAGGTAAGGACCGATATCTATAAAAGATGATAATTCATTTTTTCTTAGGACGCGATCGATGAAGTAATAGGAGACAAGAAACCTGAAGAGCAGGTAATTTTTCACATATCATTGACCTTGCAAATCTCACACAACTCTGTTACAGGCCCCCATCCTCCTATACCTGTTCAAACTGCTAGAAGATAAAGTTGTAAGTCAATCCTGCTGTCTTTGTCTGTTTCCACTGACGCTTTGTTTTTTATTTAGGGTCAACCTAATGTGAAAGTCACTGTCGAACCAGATACCATTGAAAAGGTCAGTTTTTTAGTGACACTTTTCGCATTGTTAACTAATTTCGTTTGCAGATTGTGCTCAAAGAGGAACGAGGTGACTTGGATGATATTAAGACCGTAAGATAATTTCGTTTGGGCTGAAACTTGTACTCATCCAGTTTTTTAGATCATTCTAACCGGAGAGTGGCCCACATCTGGTACGGTAACAACGACCACCACACCAAAGACCGAGGAACCTGAGGTAAGTCAAGCACTAAACGTAAAAGAAGAAATATTTAATCATATTACTCACATTTTCAGAATGACAGAGTGAATATTCACGACATTTTCCCCGATAAACCGGATCTACAGGTGAGCTAAGAGAGGTTGGAGAACCGGATTAACATTCTTTATTTAACAGTCGAAGATTGACCTTCTTTGGGACAAATTAACACCAGAAGGAAAAGAAAATATCAACGATCTTTTGGAAGACCTACCTAAAGATAAAAAAGTAGGTATGACCGAATTAAAACTGCCCACTGACCGTTTGGTTTTCAGGCGCCCATTTTGCTTTACATCTACGATATTGCCAAGGATACTCTCGTAAGTTTCTTATTTTACTACGATTTCTCTTGTAATCATAAACTTTCTAGAATAAGCCCAAGACCAAGCTTGACCTCGACAAAGATACGATCACCACGGTGAGGAAGGCTAATTGTTTTAATGTATAGCTCAATGCCAATTTTAGGTTATCTTACGAGAGGAGAAAGACAAACTAGGAGATATACCACAGGTGAGTCAACAGTTTCAGGGAATCTTACTGACACTCTTGGCTTTCAGATCATCGATCTTGGAAGATGGCCAGAAGAGAGTGAGAGACCACTTAAGGTAAGTTTTTCAATTGTTCCAGTGCTTCATTTACTAACTCTGTTTTTGCAAAATTTCTTTACAGGGAACTACCACAACCACGCCAAAAACCGTTGATGTAAGTATTATTTTACAAAGTTCAAAAGCAAGTTTCACGTACCCCTCCACGCCTCAAAATTAGACTGTTACATTTCTTAAAAAATCAAAATCCGATCACAATATCTCAAAATTACACTTACAATGAGCTACCCCTCTAAATTTCCGGTGAGGTGGATATTGTCGACCTTTAGCCATTCCTCTCGCGATTTTCTTTAGATGATTATATTATTTTCTCGTGAACCCAGTTCATAATAGACCTCCAATCTCTTATTACGTGCAGATGTTAATGTCATTCTGGTACATTTCAGGTACACAAGGTGAAAATTGACGAGCTCTTCCCAGACAAGCCCGACTTGGAAGAAAAGGTTAAGTTACTTTGGGACAGCCTAACAGAAGACGCAAAGGTAAGATATTGATGGAATTAGCATGAAATAAACCCTAGTATTTTAGGACGTCATCGATGAGGAATTGGGAGACAAGAAACCAGAAGAACAGGTAAGTTTTTTCTTTTAATTGCCCTTACAAATCTCACTCATATTCTTTTACAGGCTCCTGTCCTCTTGTACCTTTTTAAACTTTTGGAAGATAAACTCGTAAGTTAATCAAACTGCCTTTGTCCCACCCCACTGATCCTTTTTCTAAATTTAGGGTCAACCTAACGTGCAGGTTACTGTCGAACCGGACACCATCCACAAGGTGAGTTTCTGAGCAGGAAAATTTCGGATCTTTGACAAATGTTGTTTGCAGATTGTACTGAAAGAAGAAACTGGTGACTTGGATGACATTAAGACCGTAAGCTAGAAGGTTTAGGATCTAAAAATTAACTCAAAAAATGTTTATTTTAGATAATCGACACTGGAAAGTGGCCTAAAGAGGAAGGTACAACAACAACCACGGCAAAGACAGTTGATGTAAGTATTTAAGCTGCACAAGTCACCAAGAGTGTTGCTCTTCCGTGGCCCTCGAGGCCAAAAGTCCATCATTCGCATTAATTAATTCTGTTGCATTATAGACACACAAAGTAAGGATTGACGATATCTTCCCGGATAAACCCGACTTGGAAGAAAAGATTAAAGTACTCTGGGATAGTCTCACTGAGGAAGGAAAGGTAAGGACCGATATCTATAAAAGATGATAATTCATTTTTTCTTAGGACGCGATCGATGAAGTAATAGGAGACAAGAAACCTGAAGAGCAGGTAATTTTTCACATATCATTGACCTTGCAAATCTCACACAACTCTGTTACAGGCCCCCATCCTCCTATACCTGTTCAAACTGCTAGAAGATAAAGTTGTAAGTCAATCCTGCTGTCTTTGTCTGTTTCCACTGACGCTTTGTTTTTTATTTAGGGTCAACCTAATGTGAAAGTCACTGTCGAACCAGATACCATTGAAAAGGTCAGTTTTTTAGTGACACTTTTCGCATTGTTAACTAATTTCGTTTGCAGATTGTGCTCAAAGAGGAACGAGGTGACTTGGATGATATTAAGACCGTAAGATAATTTCGTTTGGGCTGAAACTTGTACTCATCCAGTTTTTTAGATCATTCTAACCGGAGAGTGGCCCACATCCGGTACGGTAACAACGACCACCACACCAAAGACCGAGGAACCTGAGGTAAGTCAAGCACTAAACGTAAAAGAAGAAATATTTAATCATATTACTCACATTTTCAGAATGACAGAGTGAATATTCACGACATTTTCCCCGATAAACCGGATCTACAGGTGAGCTAAGAGAGGTTGGAGAACCGGATTAACATTCTTTATTTAACAGTCGAAGATTGACCTTCTTTGGGACAAATTAACACCAGAAGGAAAAGAAAATATCAACGATCTTTTGGAAGACCTACCTAAAGATAAAAAAGTAGGTATGACCGAATTAAAACTGCCCACTGACCGTTTGGTTTTCAGGCGCCCATTTTGCTTTACATCTATGATATTGCCAAGGATACTCTCGTAAGTTTCTTATTTTACTACGATTTCTCTTGTAATCATAAACCTTCTAGAATAAGCCCAAGACCAAGCTTGACCTCGACAAAGATACCATCACCACGGTGAGGAAGGCTAATTGTTTTAATGTATAGCTCAATGCCAATTTTAGGTTATCTTACGAGAGGAGAAAGACAAACTAGGAGATATACCACAGGTGAGTCAACAGTTTCAGGGAATCTTACTGACACTCTTGGCTTTCAGATCATCGATCTTGGAAGATGGCCAGAAGAGAGTGAGAGACCACTTAAGGTAAGTTTTTCAATTGTCCCAGTGCTTCATTTACTAACTCTGTTTTTGCAAAATTTCTTTACAGGGAACTACCACAACCACGCCAAAAACCGTTGATGTAAGTATTATTTTACAAAGTTCAAAAGCAAGTTTCACGTACCCCTCCACGCCTCAAAATTAGACTGTTACATTTCTTAAAAAATCAAAATCCGATCACAATATCTCAAAATTACACTTACAATGAGCTACCCCTCTAAATTTCCGGTGAGGTGGATATTGTCGACCTTTAGCCATTCCTCTCGCGATTTTCTTTAGATGATTATATTATTTTCTCGTGAACCCAGTTCATAATAGACCTCCAATCTCTTATAACGTGCAAATGTTAATGTTAATCTGGTAAATTTCAGGTACATAAGGTGAAAATTGACGAGCTCTTCCCAGACAAGCCCGACTTGGAAGAAAAGATTAAGTTACTCTGGGACAGCCTCACTGAGGAAGGAAAGGTAAGAGACCCATATCTATAAAAGATGATAATTCATTTTTTCTTAGGACGCAATCGATGAAGTTATAGGAGACAAGAAACCTGAAGAACAGGTAATTTTTCACATCTCATTGTCCTTGCAAATCTGACACATCTCTTTTACAGGCTCCCATCCTCCTATACCTGTTCAAACTGTTGGAAGACAAAGTTGTAAGTTAACCCTGCTGTCTTTGTCTGATTCCGCTGACGCGTTGTTTTTTATTTAGGGTCAACCTAATGTGAAAGTCACTGTCGAACCAGATACCGTTGAAAAGGTCAGTTTTTCAGTAACACTTTTCGCATTGTTAACCAGTTTCGTTTGCAGATTGTACTTAAAGAAGAACGTGGTGACTTGGATGACATTAAGACCGTAAGATAATCTCTTTTGGGCTGAAACTTGTAGTCATCCAGTTTTTTTTAGATCATTCTAACCGGAGAGTGGCCCACATCTGGTACGGTAACCACGACCACCACACCAAAGACCGAGGAACCTGAGGTAAGTCAAGCACTAAACGTAAAAGAAGAAATATTTAATCATATTACTCAAATTTTCAGAATGACAGAGTGAATATTCACGAAATCTTTCCCGACAAACCGGACCTACAGGTAAGCTAAGAGAGATTAGCAAGCAACCCGGACTAACCTTCTTTATTTAACAGTCGAAGATTGACCTTCTTTGGGAGAAATTAACACCAGAAGGAAAGGAAAACATCAACGATCTTTTGGAAGATCTACCTAAAGATAAAAAAGTAGGTATGACCTTATTTTAAACTCCCTCTGACCGTTTGGCTTTCAGGCGCCCATTTTGCTTTACATCTACGATATTGCCAAGGATACTCTCGTAAGTTTCCCACTTTATAATGATTTCTCTTGTAATCATAAACTTTCTAGAATAAGCCCAAGACCAAGCTTGACCTCGACAAAGATACGATCACCACGGTGAGGAAGGCTAATTGTTTTAATGTATAGCTCAATGCCAATTTTAGGTTATCTTACGAGAGGAGAAAGACAAACTAGGAGATATACCACAGGTGAGTCAACAGTTTCAGGGAATCTTACTGACACTCTTGGCTTTCAGATCATCGATCTTGGAAGATGGCCAGAAGAGAGTGAGAGACCACTAAAAGTAAGTGTGTCGATTGCCCCAGTTCCTCTTCCATTAACTAATTCTAAATTTGAAAAATTTCATTACAGGGAACTACCACAACCACGCCAAAAACCGTTGATGTAAGTATTTGAGCGGATAGTAGTGATTTCAACTTATTTTACAAAGTTCAAAAGCAAGTTTCACGTTCCCCTCCTCGCCTCAAATGTAGATCGGGGTTGCATTTCTTAAAAAATCAAAATCCGATCACAATATCTCAAAATTACACTTACAATGAGCTACCCCTCTAAATTTCCGGTGAGGTGGATATTGTCGACCTTTAGCCACTCCCCTCGCGATTTTCTTTAGATGGTTATATTATTTTCTCGTGAACCCAGTTCATAATAAACCTCCAATCTCTTATAACGTGCAGATGTTAATGTCATTCTGGTACATTTCAGGTACACAAGGTGAAAATTGACGAGCTCTTCCCAGACAAGCCCGACTTGGAAGAAAAGGTTAAGTTACTTTGGGACAGCCTAACAGAAGACGCAAAGGTAAGATATTGATGGAATTAGCATGAGATAAACCCTCGTTTTATTAGGACGTCATCGATGAGGAATTGGGAGACAAGAAACCAGAAGAACAGGTAAGTTTTGTCTATTGATTGCACTTACAAATCTCACTCATATTTTTTTTCAGGCTCCTATCCTCTTGTACCTATTTAAACTTTTGGAAGATAAACTCGTAAGTTAATCAAACTGCCTTTGTCCCACCCCACTGATCCTTTTTCTAAATTTAGGGTCAACCTAACGTGCAGGTTACTGTCGAACCGGACACCATCCACAAGGTGAGTTTCTGAGCAGGAAAATTTCGGATCTTTGACTAATGTTGTTTGCAGATTGTACTGAAAGAAGAAACTGGTGACTTGGATGACATTAAGACCGTAAGCTAGAAGGTTTAGGATCTAAAAATTTACTCAAAAAATGTTTATTTTAGATAATCGACACTGGAAAGTGGCCTAAAGAGGAGGGTACAACAACAACCACGGCAAAGACAGTTGATGTAAGTATTTAAGCTGCACAAGCCACCAAGAGTGTTGCTCTTCCGTGGCCGTCGTGGCCAAAAGACCGTTATTTGCATTAATTAATTCTGTTGCATTATAGACACACAAAGTAAGGATTGACGAGATCTTCCCTGATAAACCCGAGCTGGAAGAAAAGATTAAGTTACTCTGGGACAGCCTCACTGAGGAAGGAAAGGTAAGAGACCTATATCTATAAAAGATAATAATTCATTTAATCTTAGGACGCGATCGATGAAGTTATAGGTGACAAGAAACCTGAAGAACAGGTAATTTTGCACATCTCATTGTCCTTGCAAATCTCACACATCTCTTTTACAGGCTCCCATCCTCCTATACCTGTTCAAACTGCTGGAAGACAAAGTTGTAAGTGAATCCTGCTGTCTTTGTCTAATTCCGCTGACGCGTTGTTTTTTATTTAGGGTCAACCGAATGTGAAAGTCACTGTCGAACCAGATACCATTGAAAAGGTCAGTTATTCAGTAACACTTTTCGCATTGTTAACCAGTTTCGTTTGCAGATTGTGCTTAAAGAAGAACGTGGTGACTTGGATGACATTAAGACCGTAAGTTAATTTCGTTTGGTCTAAAACTTGCACTCATCCAGTTTTATTTTAGATCATTCTAACCGGAGAATGGCCCACATCTGGTACGGTAACCACGACCACCACACCAAAGACCGAGGAACCTGAGGTAAGTCAAGCACTAAACGTAAAAGAAGAAATATTTAATCACATTATTCACATTTTCAGAATGACAGAGTGAATATTCACGAAATCTTCCCCGACAAACCAGACCTACAGGTAAGCTAAAAGAGATTAGCAAGCAACCCGGACTAACCTTCTTTATTTAACAGTCGAAGATTGACCTTCTTTGGGAAAAATTAACACCAGAAGGAAAAGAAAATATTAACGATCTTTTAGAAGACCTACCTAAGGATAAAAAAGTAGGTATGACCTTATTTTAAACTCCCCCTGACCGTTTGGCTTTCAGGCGCCCATTTTGCTTTACATCTACGATATTGCCAAGGATACTCTCGTAAGTTTCCTATTTTACTATGATTTCTCTTGTAATCGTAAACTTTGTAGAATAAGCCCAAGACCAAGCTTGACCTCGACAAAGATACCATCACCACGGTGAGGAAGGCTACTTGTTTTAATGTATAGCTCAATGCCAATTTTAGGTTATCTTACGAGAGGAGAAAGACAAACTAGGAGATATACCACAGGTGAGTCAACAGTTTCAGGAAATCTTATTGACACTCTTGGCTTTCAGATCATCGATCTTGGAAGATGGCCAGAAGAGAGTGAGAGACCACTAAAAGTAAGTGTTTCGATTGCCCCAGTTCCTCTTCCATTAACTAATTCTAAATTTGAAAAATTTCATTACAGGGAACTACCACAACCACGCCAAAAACCGTTGATGTAAGTATTTGAGCGGATAGTAGTGCTTTCAACTTATTTTACAAAGTTCAAAAGCAAGTTTCACGTTCCCCTCCTCGCCTCAAATGTAGATCGGGGTTGCATTTCTTAAAAAATCAAAATCCGATCACAATATCTCAAAATTACACTTACAATGAGCTACCCCTCTAAATTTCCGGTGAGGTGGGTATTGTCGACCTTTAGCCACTCCCCTCGCGATTTTCTTTAGATGGTTATATTATTTTCTCGTGAACCTAGTTCATAATAAACCTCCAATCTCTTATAACGTGCAGATGTTAATGTCATTCTGGTACATTTCAGGTACACAAGGTGAAAATTGACGAGCTCTTCCCAGACAAGCCCGACTTGGAAGAAAAGGTTAAGTTACTTTGGGACAGCCTAACAGAAGACGCAAAGGTAAGATATTGATGGAATTAGCATGAGATAAACCCTCGTTTTATTAGGACGTCATCGATGAGGAATTGGGAGACAAGAAACCAGAAGAACAGGTAAGTTTTTTCTTTTGATTGCCCTTATAAATCTCACTCATATTCCTTTACAGGCTCCTATCCTCTTGTACCTCTTTAAACTTTTGGAAGATAAACTCGTAAGTTAATCAAACTGCCTTTGCACCACCCCACTGATCCTTTTTCTAAATTTAGGGTCAACCTAACGTGCAGGTGAATGTCGAACCGGACACCATCCACAAGGTGAGTTTCAGGCAGGAAAATTTCGGATCGTTGACTAATGTTGTTTGCAGATTGTACTGAAAGAAGAAACTGGTGAATTGGATGACATTAAGACTGTAAGGATAAGCATTGTTGGTATAAAGGTCCTCTCATCTAACTTACATTGCAGATAATTGACCAAGGAAAGTGGCCCAGACAGGAAGGTACAACAACGACCACCCCCAAACCAGTTGATGTAAGTTAATTAGTCGAATTGACTTACAACGGTACTACAGGTTAAATTAAAAAATTCTCAGTCAAGTAACTAGTAAGAATGATAAATTTTCCGTGGTCCAAGAGCCTAAAAGATCATTCCAATTATTGTATTTGCCAAAAATAAAAAAAAATTTTGAGAAAGACAACTACAATAATTGGAATTATCTTTATCCCAAATTATGATAGTTCACCAATAAAAGATCATATTTTATTATGACATCCAGACCTTAATTTAATTCTGGTGCATTACAGACACACAAAGTAAGGATTGACGATATCTTCCCTGATAAACCCGATCTGGAAGAAAAGATTAAGTTACTCTGGGACAGCCTCACTGAGGAAGGAAAGGTAAGAGACCGATATCTATAAAAGATGAAAATTCATTTTTTCTTAGGACGCGATAGATGAAGTTATAGGAGACAAGAAACCTGAAGAACAGGTAATTTTGCACATCTCATTGTCCTTGCAAATCTCACACATCTCTTTTACAGGCTCCCATCCTCCTATACCTGTTCAAACTGCTGGAAGACAAAGTTGTAAGTGAATCCTGCTGTCTTTGTCGGTTTCCACTGACGCTTTGTTTTTTATTTAGGGTCAACCTAATGTGAAAGTCACAGTCGAACCAGATACCATTGAAAAGGTCAGTTTTTCAGTAACACTTTTCGCATTGTTAACCTATTTCGTTTGCAGATTGTGCTTAAAGAAGAACGTGGTGACTTGGATGACATTAAGACCGTAAGATAAATTCGTTTGGGCTGAAACTAGTACTCATCCAGTTTTGTTCTAGATCATTCTAACCGGAGAGTGGCCCACATCTGGTACGGTAACCACGACCACCACACCAAAGACCGAGGAACCTGAGGTAAGTCAAGCACTAAACGTAAAAGAAGAAATATTTTATCATATTACTCAAATTTTCAGAATGACAGAGTGAATATTCACGAAATCTTCCCCGACAAACCAGACCTTCAGGTAAGCTAAGAGAAATTAGGAAGCAACACTAACCTTCTTTATTTAACAGTCGAAGATTGACCTTCTTTGGGAAAAATTAACACCAGAAGGAAAAGAAAATATAAACGATCTTTTAGAAGACTTACCTAAGGATAAAAAAGTAGGTATGACGTTATTTTAAACTGCCCACTGACCGTTTGGTTTTCAGGCGCCCATTCTGCTTTACATTTACGATATTGCCAAGGATACTCTCGTAAGTTTCCCATTTTACTATGATTTCTCTTGTAATCGTAAACTTTGTAGGATAAGCCCAAGACCAAGCTTGACCTCGACAAAGATACCATCACCACGGTGAGCACGCGAATTTTTTTAATCTATGGCTCATTGCCAATTTTAGGTTATCTTACGAGAGGAGAAAGACAAACTAGGAGATATACCACAGGTGAGTCAACAGTTTCAGGGAAGTTTTACTGACACTCTTGACTTTCAGATCATCGATCTTGGAAGATGGCCATCCGAGAGTGAGAGACCCATTAAGGTACGTTTTTCTATTGTCCCTTCGATTTTCTTCGTTTATTTACTAATTCTAACATCGCCATATTTTCTTACAGGGAACTACCACAACCACGCCGAAGACAGTTGATGTAAGTATTTAGGCAACTTTAGGCCTACCTCGCAAATTTCTTTAAAAAGCTCCCCTAAATTTGGTTTGCAATCACATTCCTTAAGCAATCAAAGTTCGTCTACATTCTACATCTTAGAATTACACTTACAATGGTCCACCCCCCTTTATGTGCGCTGATGTGGATGTGATCGTGATTTAACCCTACTCCTTTTAATAAATTATATCCAAGAGAACACAATTGTTAACTAAATGTTACAGAACATATAACAATTAAACTAAATGTGGATGTAGTAGTTAAAAAAACCCACTTTTAGAAGTTACAGATTTTAACTCTCTTTCGGTACATTTCAGACTCATTTAGTTAGGATTGACGATATCTTCCCTGATAAACCCGATCTGGAAGAAAAGATTAAGTTACTCTGGGACAGCCTCACTGAGGAAGGAAAGGTAAGAGACCGATATCTATAAAAGATGATAACTCATTTTTTCTTAGGACGCGATCGATAAAGTTATAGGAGACAAGAAACCTGAAGAACAGGTAATTTTCTCTTCTCATTGCCCTTGCAAATATCACACGTATTTGTTACAGGCTCCCATCCTCCTATACTTGTTCAAACTGCTGGAAGACAAACTTGTAAGTTAACCTTGCTGTCTTTGTCTGATTCCGATGACGCGTTGATTTTTTATTTAGGGTCAACCTGATGTGAAAGTCACAGTCGAACCAGATACCATTGAAAAGGTCAGTTTTTCAGTAACACTTTTCGCATTTTTAACTAATTTCGTTTGCAGATTGTGCTTAAAGATGAACGTGGTGACTTAGATGACATTAAGACCGTAAGATAATTTCGCTTGGGCTGAAACTTGTCCTCATCCAGTTTGTTTTAGATCATTCTAACCGGAGAGTGGCCCACATCTGGTACGGTAACGACGACCACCACACCAAAGCCCGAGGAACCGGAGGTAAATCAAGCACTAAACGTAAAAGAAGAATTGTTTAATCATATTATTCGCATTTTCAGAATGACAGAGTGAATATTCACGAAATCTTCCCCGACAAACCGGACCTACAGGTAAGCTAAGAGAGGTTAGCAAAGCAACCCGGACTAACCTTCTTTATTTAACAGTCGAAGATTGACCTTCTTTGGGACAAATTAACACCAGAAGGAAAGGAAAACATCAACGATCTTTTGGAAGACCTACCTAAAGATAAAAAAGTAGGTATGACCTTATTTTAAACTGCCCTCTCACCGTTTGGTTTTTAGGCTCCCATCCTGCTCTACATCTACGATATTGCCAAGGATACTCTTGTAAGTTTCCCATTTTGATATAATTCTCTTTCTAATAATAAACCCTTTAGAATAAGCCAAATACCAAGCTGGACCTCGACAAGGACACCATCACGAAGGTGAGGAAAGCAAGATCTTTCAGTTTGTGCTGCATTGTAAATTTTAGGTTATCTTACGAGAAGAGAAAGACAAACTGGGAGACATTCCACAGGTGAGTTACGTCAATTACGTTCTTGGTGCTGACGTGCTGCAATTTTAGATTATCGATCTCGGCAGATGGCCTTCTGAGAGCGAACGACCAGTTAAGGTAAGTTTTTCAATTGTTCCTCTCACTTCGTTTACTAAATTGCAAACCATCTTGCAGGGAACCACCACACCAAAGACAGAGGAACCTGAGGTAAGTCATGTAGCAAATGTAAAAGAAACTCACACGGGATGCATCTTCAGAATACCAGAGTGCCGATTCACGACCTCTTCCCCGACAAGCCGGACCTACAGGTAAGCTTCAAAATATTGCAAACCTTGACTAACCTTCATCATTTAACAGTCGAAAATCGATCTTATGTGGAGTAAACTAACGCCCGAAGGAAAAGAAAACGTCAATGATCTTTTGGAAGATTTACCCAAAGATAAACAAGTGAGTATGATCAGGTCAAAATTGCTCACTGACGGTTTGGTTTTTAGGCTCCCATCCTGCTCTACATTTACGATATTGCCAAGGATACTGTTGTAAGTTTCCCCATTTTGTTATAATTCCCTTTCTAATGATAAACCTTTTAGGATAAGCCCAATACTAAGCTGGCACTCGACAGAGACACCATCACCACGGTGAGGAAAGCTAGATCTTTCAATTAGTGCCTCATTGTTAATTTTAGGTTATCTTACGGGAGGAGAAAGACAAACTGGGAGACATTCCACAGGTGAGTTACGTCAATTACGTTCTTGGTGCTGACGTGCTGCAATTTTAGATTATCGATCTCGGCAGATGGCCTTCTGAGAGCGAACGACCAATTAAGGTAAGTGTTTCAATTGTTTTCCTCGCATCATTTACTCAATTGCCAACCTTCCTTGCAGGGAACCACCACACCAAAGACAGAGGAACCTGAGGTAAGTCATCTAAAAAATTTAAAAGAAGCTCACACGCGATGCATCTTAGAATACCAGAGTGCCTATTCACGACCTCTTCCCCGACAAGCCGGACCTACAGGTAAGCTGCAAAATATTGCCGTCCCTGACTAACCTCCATCATTTAACAGTCGAAAATCGATCTTATGTGGAGTAAACTAACGCCCGAAGGAAAAGAAAACGTCAATGATCTTTTGGAAGACTTACCTAAAGATAAACAAGTGGGTATGATCAGGTCAAAATTGCTCACTGACGGTTTGGTTTTTAGGCTCCTATCCTGCTCTACATCTACGATATTGCCAAGGACACTCTTGTAAGTTTCCCATTTTATTATAATTCCCTTTCTAAACATAAACCTTTTAGGATAAACCGAATACCAAGCTGGACCTGGACAGAGACACCATCACCACGGTGAGAAAAGCTAGATCTTTTAGTTGGTGCCTCATTGTTCATTTTAGGTTATCTTACGGGAGGAGAAAGACAAGCTGGGAGACATTCCACAGGTGAGTTTCGTCAATTTCGTTCTTGGTGCTGATATGATGCAATTTTAGATTATCATCCTCGGCAGATGGCCTTCTGAGAGCGAAAGACCAATTAAGGTAAGTTTTTCAATTGTTTTCCTCGCATCATTTACTCAATTTCCAACCTTCCTTGCAGGGAACCACCACACCAAAGCCAGAGGAACCTGAGGTAAGTCATGAACTTAATATAAAAGAAGCTCACACGCCATGCATCTTCAGAATAACAGAGTGCCGATTCACGACCTCTTCCCCGACAAGCCGGACCTACAGGTAAGCTTCAAAATATTGCCGACCCTGACTAACCTCCATCATTTAACAGTCGAAAATCGATCTAATGTGGAGCAAACTGACGCCCGAAGGAAAGAAAAACGTTAATGATCTCTTGGAAGATCTACCTAAAGATAAACAAGTGGGTATTGATAAGGTCAAAATTGCTCACTGACGGTTTGGTTTTTAGGCTCCTATCCTGCTCTACATCTACGATATTGCCAAGGACACTCTTGTAAGTTTCCCATTTTATTTTAATTCCCTTTCTAATGATTAATCTTTTAGGATAAACCGAATACCAAGCTAGACCTCGACAGAGACACCATCACCACGGTGAGGAAAGCTAGATCTTTCAGTGTGTGCCTCATTGTTAATTTTAGGTTATCTTACGAGAAGAGAAAGACAAACTGGGAGACATTCCACAGGTAAGTTTCGTCAAACACGTTCATGGTTCTAACGTGCTATAATTTTAGATTATCATCCTCGGCAGATGGCCTTCTGAGAGCGAAAGACCAATTAAGGTAAGTTTTTCAATTGTTTTCCTCGCATCATTTACTCAATTTCCAACCTTCCTTGCAGGGAACCACCACACCAAAGCCAGAGGAACCTGAGGTAAGTCATGAATTTTAAGTATAAAAGAAGCTCACACGCCATGCATCTTCAGAATAACAGAGTGCCGATTCACGACCTCTTCCCCGACAAGCCGGACCTACAGGTAAGCTGCAAAATATTGCCGTCCCTGACTAACGTCCATCATTTAACAGTCGAAAATCGATCTAATGTGGAGCAAACTGACGCCCGAAGGAAAGAAAAACGTTAATGATCTCTTGGAAGATCTACCTAAAGATAAACAAGTGGGTATTGATAAGGTCAAAATTGCTCACTGACTGTTTGGTTTTTAGGCTCCTATCCTGCTCTACATCTACGATATTGCAAAGGACACTCTTGTAAGTTTCCCATTTTATTTTAATTCCCTTTCTAATGATAAATCTTTTAGGATAAACCGAATACCAAGCTGGACCTCGACAGAGACACCATCACCACGGTGAGGAAAGCTAGATCTTTCAGTGTGTGCCTCATTGTTAATTTTAGGTTATCTTACGAGAAGAGAAAGACAAACTGGGAGACATTCCACAGGTAAGTTTCGTCAAACACGTTCATGGTTCTAACGTGCTATAATTTTAGATTATCATCCTCGGCAGATGGCCTTCTGAGAGCGAAAGACCAATTAAGGTAAGTTTTTCAATTGTTTTCCTCGCATCATTTACTCAATTTCCAACCTTCCTTGCAGGGAACCACCACACCAAAGCCAGAGGAACCTGAGGTAAGTCATGAATTTTAAGTATAAAAGAAGCTCACACGCCATGCATCTTCAGAATAACAGAGTGCCGATTCACGACCTCTTCCCCGACAAGCCGGACCTACAGGTAAGCTGCAAAATATTGCCGTCCCTGACTAACGTCCATCATTTAACAGTCGAAAATCGATCTAATGTGGAGCAAACTGACGCCCGAAGGAAAGAAAAACGTTAATGATCTCTTGGAAGATCTACCTAAAGATAAACAAGTGGGTATTGATAAGGTCAAAATTGCTCACTGACGGTTTGGTTTTTAGGCTCCTATCCTGCTCTACATCTACGATATTGCAAAGGACACTCTTGTAAGTTTCCCATTTTATTTTAATTCCCTTTCTAATGATAAATCTTTTAGGATAAACCGAATACCAAGCTGGACCTCGACAGAGACACCATCACCACGGTGAGGAAAGCTAGATCTTTCAGTGTGCCTCATTGTTAATTTTAGGTTATCTTACGAGAAGAGAAAGACAAACTGGGAGACATTCCACAGGTAAGTTTCGTCAAACACGTTCATGGTTCTAACGTGCTATAATTTTAGATTATCATCCTCGGCAGATGGCCTTCTGAGAGCGAAAGACCAATTAAGGTAAGTTTTTCAATTGTTTTCCTCGCATCATTTACTCAATTTCCAACCTTCCTTGCAGGGAACCACCACACCAAAGCCAGAGGAACCTGAGGTAAGTCATGAATTTTAAGTATAAAAGAAGCTCACACGCCATGCATCTTCAGAATAACAGAGTGCCGATTCACGACCTCTTCCCCGACAAGCCGGACCTACAGGTAAGCTGCAAAATATTGCCGTCCCTGACTAACGTCCATCATTTAACAGTCGAAAATCGATCTAATGTGGAGCAAACTGACGCCCGAAGGAAAGAAAAACGTTAATGATCTCTTGGAAGATCTACCTAAAGATAAACAAGTGGGTATTGATAAGGTCAAAATTGCTCACTGACGGTTTGGTTTTTAGGCTCCTATCCTGCTCTACATCTACGATATTGCAAAGGACACTCTTGTAAGTTTCCCATTTTATTTTAATTCCCTTTCTAATGATAAATCTTTTAGGATAAACCGAATACCAAGCTGGACCTCGACAGAGACACCATCACCACGGTGAGGAAAGCTAGATCTTTCAGTGTGTGCCTCATTGTTAATTTTAGGTTATCTTACGGGAGGAGAAAGACAAGCTGGGAGACATTCCACAGGTGAGTTTCGTCAATTTCGTTCTTGGTGCTGATATGATGCAATTTTAGATTATCATCCTCGGCAGATGGCCTTCTGAGAGTGAAAGACCAATTAAGGTAAGTTTTTCAATTGTTTTCCTCGCATCATTTACTCAATTTCCAACCTTTCTTGCAGGGAACCACCACACCAAAGCCAGAGGAACCTGAGGTAAGTCATGAATTTTAAGTATAAAAGAAGCTCACACGCCATGCATCTTCAGAATAACAGAGTGCCGATTCACGACCTCTTCCCCGACAAGCCGGACCTACAGGTAAGCTGCAAAATATTGCCGTCCCTGACTAACGTCCATCATTTAACAGTCGAAAATCGATCTAATGTGGAGCAAACTGACGCCCGAAGGAAAGAAAAACGTTAATGATCTCTTGGAAGATCTACCTAAAGATAAACAAGTGGGTATTGATAAGGTCAAAATTGCTCACTGACTGTTTGGTTTTTAGGCTCCTATCCTGCTCTACATCTACGATATTGCAAAGGACACTCTTGTAAGTTTCCCATTTTATTTTAATTCCCTTTCTAATGATAAATCTTTTAGGATAAACCGAATACCAAGCTGGACCTCGACAGAGACACCATCACCACGGTGAGGAAAGCTAGATCTTTCAGTGTGTGCCTCATTGTTAATTTTAGGTTATCTTACGAGAAGAGAAAGACAAACTGGGAGACATTCCACAGGTAAGTTTCGTCAAACACGTTCATGGTTCTAACGTGCTATAATTTTAGATTATCATCCTCGGCAGATGGCCTTCTGAGAGCGAAAGACCAATTAAGGTAAGTTTTTCAATTGTTTTCCTCGCATCATTTACTCAATTTCCAACCTTCCTTGCAGGGAACCACCACACCAAAGCCAGAGGAACCTGAGGTAAGTCATGAATTTTAAGTATAAAAGAAGCTCACACGCCATGCATCTTCAGAATAACAGAGTGCCGATTCACGACCTCTTCCCCGACAAGCCGGACCTACAGGTAAGCTTCAAAATATTGCCGACCCTGACTAACCTCCATCATTTAACAGTCGAAAATCGATCTTATGTGGAGCAAACTAACGCCCGATGGAAAGGATAACGTAAACGATCTTCTGGGAGATTTACCTAAAGATAAACAAGTAGGTACGACCTCACTTAAACTGCTCACTAACGGTTTGGTTTCTAGGCCCCAATTCTACTCTACATCTACGATATTGCCAAGGACACTCTTGTAAGTTTCCAATTTTATTTTAATTCCCTTTCTAATGATAAATCTTTTAGGATAAACCGAATACCAAGCTTTCCCTCGACAGAGACACTATCAACACGGTAAGAAAAACTAGATCTTGCAGGTTATGCCTCATTGTCAATTTTAGGTTATCTTACGAGAACAGAAAGACAAGCTGGGAGACATTCCACAGGTGAGTTAAGTCAATTACATTCTTGGTACTGACGTGTTGCAATTTTAGATTATCATCCTCGGCAGATGGCCTTCTGAGAGCGAAAGACCAGTTAAGGTGAGTTTTTCAATTGTTCCTCTCACATCAATTACTAAACTGCAAGCTTATCTGCAGGGAGTCACCACACCAAAGACGGAAGAACCTGAACCGTCCAAGATCGACATCAATCAGCTCTTCCCGAATGATCCACAGACACAGGTGAGTAGCGGATTACTCGGGGATGGATTGCCAAAACGTCGAATTTCAGAATGAGATCAAGAAGTACCTCCTTACTCTTCCCAAGGAGATGCAGGTAAGTTCAGAACGAAAATTCACGATTCGTGTCTAAAGCAAACGATTTCAGGACCAAGTTTTGATCTACCTGTTCAAACTGCCGCCCGATGACAGGGTAAGTGTATGGGATTGTTAGGTTTCCCCATCACAACTGCCATGGTTTCAGATTGAAATCGTGCGCTATTTGATCAAACTCAACGAAGGCGTCAAAGAGACACAGAACTCGCTCGACTTGGAGACCCTGCGCAAGGTGAGCGTTTGACACATCCCCACGACTCGCACTGATACCCTCTCTATTGCAGATTATGGAACTCCAAAGAAAAGACCAGCTGGAACACAAAGAGGGCGTAAGTTGGTGTACGAATCTGTAAATCTGGTCACCTCACGAATTCTTTCAGGAGCTCCCGGTTAACGTCGACAAGATATTCCCGGACAGGCCCGATTTGCAGGCGGCCATCCGCTTTTTCCTCAACAATCTGTCCAATCGCGCCAGTGAGCTGATACGAATCCACCTCTCAGACTTAACTCCGGACGCGCAAGTAACTACAGACTCCCCTCAACCACAGCAGCGACTAATCCGTTTATTTTCCAGGGACGTATTCTACTCTACCTGATCAACCTCAGCAGAAAAATATTGGTAAGTATCCAGAGATAGGGGGGGGGAGTAAATCTGCAAGACTGTCCTTTAGGAAACCCCCGGCATAAGGGTCGACTTGGACCTGCAAGCTCTGAAAACGGTGATCCGGATGTACAACATGAACGGACTGAAGGGAGTTGAAAACGTGAGTAGGGCAATTGAGAAATTCCACTCTTTCACTTACTAACAATAATTGCAGGGAACGTATCCGACGAAACACACTGGAGAAGCTATTCACCACACAATGCCTCCACCACCCAAAAACATACAGGTAAGCTTTGCAAAGAAATTCTTCACACAAACACCTACTTGTTCACCAGGAACGAGTAAACCTCCAGATTAAAGCGCTCTTCCCAGGCGCACCCGAATTCGTACCCCGATTCATCGCCTTCTTGGATACCATGAATGCCGGACCATCCGTAAGTACCCGTATTTCTCTCCACCTCCCTCCTAATCGTTGCATCTTTTAGACCATGCAGTACGAGTACGATCCCGACGTGCTCAACTTGGTAAGTACCCCCCCAGACGTGTCCCCCTACACTCGGCCTAACTTTGTTTTCTTGCAGTACTTCGAAGCGTTCCTGGAGTCGTTAACCGACAAGGAGAAGGATAAAATTGCAACGGGCAAACCTGTGGTAAAAGAACCTTCGATTATTGTAAGTTGAAAGCGTGAAAGTCCACGGGCTGAAGCGTGCTTTGCAGGATTACATCAACTTCCACAAGCTCATCCCCGGCGATGCCGACCTACAGGCCAGGCTACGAGTGTACTTGGAGGGCTTAGATCGGGAGTCCCAGGAGATCATGGTGTTCATTTTCAGCCTTTTGGACCCAATCCCGCCATATTCACAGGTAAGAGTGACGCGGAGGACTTGCGTATTCTACGTGTGACTTTGCAGAGACAACTCCGAATGGTGCTGACCAGTACGAACGATTCGCAATGGAAAATGAACGCCATCATCCAGTGGATCCCAACTCTTCCGGCATCCGTTACGGTAAGTTGGCGCAAAGCAATTGGCCCGAGTTAGCGGTTACCTTTCCAGAAACGCCTCGAGGAAGTCGGCGGAATAAAAACGACTGAAATTGGTGGGTCAACGGTAAGTTGGGGTTCATCGAGGAAGGAGGTGAGGTTGACATTCTCGTTCCAGGGGTCGAACGTGATCAACTACGAAAAGCTTCTCCCTGGCAACCCATCCCTTCAGGTTACCCTCCGCAAATTCGTCGAAGGAGTCGAACCAAACGCGCAGAACACAATCCAAATCCTCTTCAGTCACTTGCAACCGTTACCGAAAATGTACCAGGATCAGCTTTCCAACATCCTACTCACCACACCCGGCGCTTTACAGGTAGGCACCTTTTCAGAACCAGGACCGTATACATTTCCCCCAAAAAAAATTCCAGGTACCAAAGGTGATGCAGTGGGCGAGCAGCCTTCCGAAATCGCTCCTGGTAAGTCGACCGAATTGGGGGACGGTTGATTCATTTCCCTTTGTTTAGGGCAACATGGAAATAATCAAGCAGACTGGTACAGCTAACGGTGGATGGGTTGCTGCAGCTCCGCCGACCGTGGGGGTATGAGAGGGACTGTTTGAAATGTTGTAAGTGTCACGAGTTTGTTTCAGAATGGATACTCAACTATTTTGCACGCTATGAAGAACAAAGCACATGTAAGTTTGCCAGGTCGTAAACCTATCACTAACACTGAATTACAGGGTGGATTCAGCGAGATGATGAAATCGCTTCCAGTTTCCGGGGTAAGATCGCACACTCCTCAAGCGCGGCAAGTACTAATTTGTCTCTGTTTCAGCTGACCGTCGTCCAACCGGTAAGTAGTCGCGCTAGTTCAAATGTGGAACCACTCACTCGGGACGCTCACTTCCAGAAACAACCACGTAGGGCACTACGCGAAGTGGACGCAAGCGTAAGTACCACGCAAACGCGTCGACCGTCTACATAGTCTTGCATTTCAGAAAATGAAGGAAACAGCAGAAGAGGCGAAGAGCGCGATTAGCAACCTAATGGTGGGTAAAGCGACGCCGTCGAAATATCTCTCTGATCGGGTAACTTTGCAGGAGACGGCCAAGGACAAGGTGCAACACTATTGGACCCTCTTCTCGAACGAGATGGCCAGCATCGGTCAAAAAATCGCAGAAACCGCCAAAAAGGTTCCGGAGTACTTTTCGAAGGCCGATTACGGGAAGAAGGAGTAGGAGATAACAACGGACCGGCTTCTTTTAGTTAATTGATACTGCTTAATTTGTGTTATACACAATAAATTGCATTTGAAGGATGTCTAATTTTTTTTGTATACTCCTTGACCCAAAAAAGTTGATTCCATTAGACCTTCCTTAACATAATCGATTTGGTAGACAATGAAACTCAAAAACAAAAAAAATAGTTGAGTATTCTCTTGAAGTTGTATTGATTCCCATAGAAATGGTCTTGGTTCAGGATTCCCCTAGGTCGAAGTTCACATTTCTGGTAAATGTAGTTAACAGGCATAGACAATGATCCGACCAGATTAAAGGGGATTTTTAGTAGATCCATACGACTATAGCTTTTCTGATGTTAAGGTGCGTCTTTGTTGATAATGGATCACGTAATTGTCTATTTTTAACTTGCGTAACTGAAAAACGAAATTAATTTGCCGCCGCCCAAGTCTGCGAGAGAATCCGCTCGCGTGTAGCTCGTACGAGGTTACCAATTACCCAATTCCCTGTACGTAGTTAACCTTTTCTATACACAATCTGCCGCTCTGCTCTGCCTACTATTTTACAAATTGACTTTGAGAATTGAAATTCGCGCAAAAAGGCGAGTGATACTCGATTCCCTAATTGAGCTTTACCAAAACGGCGACCAACGCAACTGGACGGCCCACTACTATCTCTGCTTAAAACGCACCCATTCTAAACACACCTGCTTATCGTCCCAAGGGAAAACTTACTCTTTAATTCTTAGAAAAAAATTTGAATCATAAAGGGACAGTTATAAGGGATATACGTGGAGTTCCTCAAGGATCAGTGGTAGAATCGCCATTATTTACACTGTATTACCCTATTTGAAATTGAAGTGCCAAGCTACACTCACGGGACCTATTAAAGAAATAGACCGAGTAAAGTAATGGCGCCTGAGGGACCAGGCACGTCTCCAGGTCGCGAATTAGAGAAACGACCAAATCCTAGGGAGGTCAGAAGGCCGGAGCGAGAGAATGCTAGAAAGTCTAAAGCTGGCTTATTCTATGTAGCAGCGGGGCACCGCAGGGGTCGGAACAGGGGCCAACTTTGTTGAAGCTACTCCTCTTTAAGGTAGGTAGTCTAAAGTACACGTTGTGAAAAATTGAGGCTGTCAATAATTACTAAGACATTTATTAGTTTCTATAGCTACATTTTGTATAATAAATTCATATGGCGAACGGAGCGCAGAAGGCAACTGCAAGAAAAAATAAATGAACGCTAGAAGAGAAATAAGACAACAGACTCATACATGCCACGACGACGACGACGACCATGGTTAATATTAGAAAAATAATTTCCATCTCGTACGGAATTCCAGACGGTTCGTGAACTTCGTGTGCACCATCAAAGAAAAAAAAAAACTGGGAATTCGTGGCAACTGGAAGAGTACTCGGTTTATTGTAATAGGTTAATATTTCAAAATTGGAAACGGAAATCGATAGGTACCTAATCGAATTCCCACCAAGTTTATCAAAGTTTAATACCGAGATATGGCATAGCCTTGATTAGACTTAATGGATTAATCAGTACGATATTATTATTATTGAATAGCGATAATTTAAAAACAGAGTAGAAAAGAAACTGGGGGAATACCCCCCCAGGACATACTCCCCTGGAAATGAAAAATTCAGTTTTCCTTTTCCTACAACTACCACAAGATTTTCGTGCACTAGAGGGAATGGCTGGGGGGTTATTCCATAAAAATATGTCTGAGATGTTCTTAGAACTACCATAGCATTTTCATGCTATTTTTATTTTTATGCTACATTCTCTCTTCAAACGTTCGGTCCTAAACGATTTCTTTTAGAATTGGGCCTGTAGAATCCATAATTTCAAACAGTTTGAAGATTGGGCTACTAGATAAAAAATTACAGTCCCTTGAAGGTTTACTCGAATTTGTTTTTTTGTCCATAACTTTTGATTGAGACGTTTTATCGAAAAACTACGAATCGTTTTGGATTTTACGCAACAAAATTAATAAGAAAAAGTGTTTTCCCAAGAAATTTTGGAGTAGTCGATTTTTGGCAAAAAAGGAAGGTTTTTTTTTGGCCGGAAAAAAAAATTGTCTGAGATCGAGTGGGAAAAAACATTTTCTTATAGAATTTGGCCCGTAGAATTCACAATTTCAAACAGTTTGAAGATTGGGCTACTAGATCAAAAGTTACAGCCCCTCGAATTTTTACTCGAATTTGGTTTTTTGTCCATAACTTTTGATTGAGAAATTTTATCGAAAAAGTACGAATCGTTTTGGATTTTACGCACCAAAATTAATAAGAAAAAGTGTTTTCCCGAGAAATTTTGGAGTAGTCGATTTTTGGCAAAAAAGGAAGGTTATACACTCGGTTTTTTGAGGCCGGAAAAAAAATTGTCTGAGATCGAGCGGGAAAAAACATTTTCTTATAGAATTTGGCCCGTAGAATCCACAATTTCAAACAGTTTGAAGATTGGGCTACTAGATCAAAAGTTACAGCCCCTCGAATTTTTACTCGAATTTGGTTTTTTGTCCATAACTTTTGATTGAGACGTTTAATCGAAAAAGTACGAATCGTTTTGGATTCTACGCACCAAAATTAATAAGAAAAAGTGTTTTCCCGAGAAATTTTGGGGTAGTCGATTTTTGGCAAAAAAGGAAGGTTATACACTCGGTTTTTTGAGGCCGGAAAAAAAATTGTCTGAGATCGAGCGGGAAAAAACATTTTCTTATAGAATTTGGCCCGTGGAATCCACAATTTCAAACAGTTTGAAGATTGGGCTACTAGATCAAAAGTTACAGCCCCTTGAATTTTTACTCGAATTTGGTTTTTTGTCCATAACTTTCGATTGAGAGGTTTCATCGAAAAAGTACGAACCGTTTTGGATTTTACGCACCAAAATTAATAAGAAAAAGTATTTTCCAGAGAAATTTTGGAGTAGTCAATTTTTGGCAAAAAAGGAAGGTTATACACTCGGTTTTTTGAGGCCGGAAAAAAAATTGTCTGAGATCGAGCGGGAAAAAACATTTTCTTATAGAATTTGGCCCGTAGAATCCACAATTTCAAACAGTTTGAAGATTGTGCTACTAGATCAAAAGTTACAGCCCCTTGAATTTTTACTCGAATTTGGTTGTTTTCCATAACTTTTGATTGAGACGTTTTATCGAAAAAGTACGAATCGTTTTGGATTCTACGCACCAAAATTAATAAGAAAAAGTGTTTTCCCGAGAAATTTTGGAGTATCATTTGAGGAACGGTGCAGATCCGGGTAGTCCGAGGGGCACATACTCCCCAGCAAATAAAATGCCTTTCGGGAATTTTAAGAGACAATATGCCCCTCTAAGGGCATTTTAGGGCCTTCAATGTTCTAAATCACGCAAAACACCCTTGTCATATCATGCGCATTATTAAAATCTTTAGTTAGTAGTTTTCTGAAACGTTTCTTGATATTGTAACGGGAGCTCTTTCAATTATTTGGGTTACGTAGTTTAGGTACAGGATATTAGGGAGTATACAGGGTGTTGCCATTGGTGGGTTGGTTTCTACATAATTTTGATCACTTTCAAAGTTCAAGAATGCCAATCCTTTCGGAATGAATTTGGGGATCTATAATTTTCCGTCTGAAAACCATTTGGATAGTATGTCCTTTTACCTTCCAAAAGTGTTTCGTAGTGATAACGCTATTTAATACTTCAGGGACCTAGAACAAATAGGAAACATCGCAGAAAATTTTAATCAAAATGTTTCGTATGGCCGTTCTTGAAATAAGCCCAGCTCACGTAAGTGCAAAATACAACCGTTTAAACCGTATGTTTGGCAACATTGCATTTTTACGAAAATATTGTATCAACCTGTATTTAGAAACCCGTCATCGGTACGTCAGCCACAGTCGCTCAAGTTAAAAATAAACATAACCTTACTTTCACCCTTTGCTCTACTAAATTAGGCTGCTTAAGGGTCGTTAAGCCAAAGATCCTTTTACCTCCCCGTTCAGAATACTCAAAGAATGCTTAAGCAGGTAATGCCATTACTCGTAAACCTTTCAGTCTGAGCAATTTTAGATTAAGCTTACATAATCGAGCAATCTCTATTTTACAGCTGAACTGAGACCGAATTATGCCACTGAACGATGAAGTCAAGTTTCCGCTTCCTTTCGAAGGTGGTCGACGCGAGCAAAATAAAGCGTACGGTCTTGATATCCCAATCGAACGACATTTACACGAACCTAGCGCTCGAGGATTGGATTTATCGCAAGTACGACTTCGAGAGTCATAACATTCTTATGCTTTGGTGTAACGATCCGTGCGTTGTGATCGGAAGGTAGGTACTGTAATTGGGTCGAAATGTATGTTTTATTGTAGGTACTTGCCGCTGTCCCGATTAGTGCTGATCTCTCTCGGCACTTCCACCCATTGTATCCATAAATTTTCTTTGCAAAGAACTGTATTAGAACATGTTTAGAACTGTACACATTGTTTAAATGCTTTAGAACACTCTCTTGAACCATTGACTATTTTTTTAGAACTTCTGTAAAGCAGTGCCTATCAAAATTTTTAGAATACTGAACTTTTTTGAAAAATTTTAGACAATTTTTAGAACTGTACATATCTGACTTTTTTGCATCGGCTACAATAACGCTTAGAATGTGTGCGACCTTGAGGCCTTGTTTTACAACTCTTGGGCCCTATATGACATTTTTTAGAACTCTGAGATGATATAAAATTGTAAATTTTTGCAATTAGTGGAGCACGTTAGAACTCATTTTTAGAACTTTTTACATTATGTAAACCTTTTAGAAACAGATTAGCAGTCTATGAGAACTTTTCTGACCACTCTCGTTGCCAGAATTCTCGTGGATACTCAGAACTTCTGAGAAAATTGGCGAACTGTTTTAGAACACTTTGTTAAAAATTAATATTTTTGGAACTGTATGAACATATGATGAATTTTTACCATTTTCAGTATTTGTACGTTGTTTTAGAAGTTACATTGGAACATTTTTGCATTTTTGAAGGTTTTTTTAGATCTTTTTGTGTCAATACTAATTTTTTGAATTTTTTGCGGTGTTATATTTTTAAAAAGAGAATTTTAATCTTTTTAGATTAAAATATACAAGGTGTTTATAAAAAAATGAGGTTATGTTCAACAACTTTTTATCTGACTCCATATACTTATTTTAGAAACTGCTGAACTCGTTTTTCAACCACCCTCTCTTCATCCCTCCCCTACTTTTTCCCACTCCGTGTTCTTGCTATCGCCTACTCTATAGTTTGCTCTATCCAGTTCTTTTGTACCTCTTCTGTCCTGTGCATTGTGTTATCTTTTTCCTCTCCTATCTACCTCAATTTAGGTTTCTCGTACCTTCTCTCTCTTTTTTTAATGTTTTCTCTTCCTATGTTCCATTGTTTTTTGCCATATCGCGTTATATTACACTTTTTTGGATTCCTCTGTTTACTATCTCGTGTCCATTTTCCCACTTTTCCGCATTTTTATCTGTAGTTCTCTTCTATTCTTCCTTGGCCTCTCTTTCTTCGCCTCTGTATAGCCTACTCCTTCGCTTTAGCGCCTTCAACAGCTTTTTCCCAACCGGTACCTTCTTTCCTTCTTCTCTCTTGGCTTCTCGTGTGCGGATCCTGTCTTCTCCATCTCCTCAGTGTCTGCAATAATTTTTCATACCATGAAGCGAGATCTACGTTCAGATGAGATACTATACAGGGTATTTCAGGTACCAAAACCCGTGGCTCGAGGCGAATGTGGCCGATTTACCGTACGTGACCGACGCCGGCGTGGCGTTGGCCCGACGTAACAGCGGGGGAGGTACCGTTTACCACGACCGTGGCAATCTGAACTTGACCTTCTTCACCTCGAAAAAACAGTACGATCGCAAAGTGAATTTGAGGCTAATCAAGGTGGCGATTTACAAGGAGTACGGCTTAATGGTCGACATTTCGCCGAGGGACGACCTGGTCGTGGGAGATTTGAAGGTGTCCGGTACGGCGGCGAAGCTCGGACGTCTGAGCGCCTACCACCACTGCACCCTTTTGGTCGACGCCAACAAGACGAACATAAGTCGCGCGCTGCAGAAGGAGAGCTCGGAGATAAAGACGACCGCGTCGCGCTCGATCCGCTCCAAGGTCACCAACCTCTGCGATCAAAACTCGGCAATTACCGTGGACGGTTTAATTTCGGCGATCGGTCGCGAGTTTCTGTTACCCGCCGACGACGATTTCCAGTACGTCAATCCGACGAACGCCGCCTTTCCCGAGCTCGATAAGATTCGCGCGAATCTCGGCGAGTGGGAGTGGTGTTTCGGTAGAACTCCCAAATTTACGGTTACGAAATCCTTCATCATCCCCAGCAAGTTTCTGGTCGACGGGCGCGATCAGAAGCTCGGGGTGGTAATTACGGTCGAGAACGGACGGATTAGCGACGTACAGCTCAACGACTCGACGGGGCTGTTCAGTCTCGAGGCGCTAATGATCAATCGACTGAGGGAGTGTAAGTTTACACCCGAAACTGTCGACGGGCTAATACAGTCGTTGCTGGAGGAGAAGTATAAGTTTGTCAGCGACTGCGTACGGCAGGTTATGACTTCGATTTAGCAAATTCGACTTGTTTTTATTTATTATTGTTGCGTCTTAATAAATTGTTTATTGTTGTATGTGTTTTTGTTGGATTTAACAACCTAGTGATTAATCATGGGGGGCGGATTTTTTGAAAATTTCAGTTGAGTGAAATTATGGTCAAAAGGTCAGATGGTGACTTAAAAAAATTGCATGGGAATTGACAGGGGATAATTTAGAACTTAGAAACTATTACTGTAAATACGAACAATAGTGGATAAACGAACAAACGCGAAATTAAATTCTACGACATTGAAAAAATGAATTTTATGTTGTGCTCATAATTAGTCGCACGTCTGAAGCGAAATGATTGAGGGTTAGCAGCGGTTGGTCGTTGTGAGGGCTGCATTGGCTGGCGGTTGCATTAGGAAAGGAAGGAAAAAGCAATTCATTTACGAGATTTCGCCCTTTAAAAATTGTAGCTTTGCATTTGTATTTTTTCTGTTTCATTGCTGATCTCTCTTCCTGGGTTTTCTATTAGTTTGATGTATAACTAATAGAAAACCCCTGAAAATTTTATGGTGGAAAGAAACCCCGTGGTGGAGACCTGAAAAACCAATTTTTTTGACGAAATATTGAAGCCAAACTTGTCGGATTTTGATCCTCCCCCTCTCCCATAAGGCACCTGCATATGTTCGATTTGTCAATTGGAAGGATAAATCCATAAGAAAGGCTACAGTGTTGTCATTTAATGAAGGAAACGGTTTGAACTTGGGGGCGTTTCTTGCTATTGTTAAATGTAAGGACATCTAAGGGCGTTTCTATCAACCCTTCTATCCCAATTCGGGATTAACTCTTGCTAAAAGCCTTGGAGGGCGAATATCGCACATAGATTCGAAACCGAAACGTTTTTGTTAGCAGGGTACCTTCCCCGGGAGACTTGTAACTTGCCCCTCGTGCGAGGTATCCATCGAGATCAATAACAACCTCTGACGTCGCAACTAGTTTGGTTTATCGTATTCCCATCCCCTGTGACTGCCTTTCTAGGGGCCTTTAACGTGTAAAGGTCACAACGAAATCCTCAATAAACCTTAAGTGCATTAGAGAGATAGCAATAGCAGTTTTTGAGCATAAGAATATGTTAAATGTTGACTGCTCAATTGTTTAAGCTGGCCACAGTTATGAATGTTGGGGTTGGGCACAAAATTGTTGATAACAAATCGAGAGATTTAATTTAAATGACCATTACAAGTCATCTTGCGATTTCCTTTACTGGATTAACGCCTTTTCTGATTCTGGTCTAGGTGCAAGACGGAGAGGTATCTCGATATGCATATTCCTGTGCGGGAAAGGTAGGCACACTTCACCCTGTAAACAAAACGACACTGACAGTCTTTATTCCGTAAAGCAAATTCGCGAACGATAATCGTTACGAACCGAGTCGTTGGTACGAACCTTCAGTTTCCAGAATACCTTCATAATATTGCAGTTGGACGACGTGCCGACAAACATGTCTTCGGGAATTGTGAGCTGAAGATTCCAGAGGTTCTTGGAGCCCGGCTCCACGACACTATTAATCACGACCAATTGGTCGGTACGAACCGGCGTAATTTCTTTCTTTCGATTATAGATATGGAAAGTAAAGCCCTGGGTAATGTTAAAACGCAACTCTTTCACCGTCGTGCCGGAATCGTTTTTAAGTCTCGCTACAAACGGAACAGCTTGACTGGGTACGTAGCGATCGTCGGGTAGGGTCACCGTCAATTGGATCGGCCCGTGGGTGCTGAACGTAGTTGGAATTTTTTCTATTGTGCGTTCGACTGGGGACTAAAAAGTGCTAGTTATTTACTATACAAGAAGCCATATAAATCATTATAACACTTTTGAAAATTCAGATATAGATATCAAAAATAGCAAGCTTAGGCTTTCCAAGGAAACATTATTGTTTTCTGTTCTGAACTTCATTTTATTTCGTGCTCGGCTTCCCATTTTTAATAAGACTGGCAGATGTAATTGGAATGTCCAATCACTTGTTTTACTAGAGGAGCTTTAAAAGCTTGTTGGACTGAACTTACGGCACTAATTAGGTTACACTCGTTCCTTGGCAACACGTTAAAGACCTTCTCGCAACTGCAGCCTAGGCTCCATTCTTTGTCAATCTCTGCTCGCGCCTTGTACCTTATACTTCCCCGCGAACTTCCTCCGCATGCCACTTCCACTGAAGACGGTAGGTTGTCGGGAAAATTAAACGTAAACGGGTAAACGTAATCTCCCGGACTGAACTTTGTTTGACCTGTTACGAGAGGAATTAGGCAAACGGTTGGGACTACACAGGCACTTACATTGCAATAACCTGGATGTCAGCTCAAAAAGGGTCTCAATTTTGGAATATGTATCGTCCCCATCTTCCCATCGAACCCTCGCCTTTCCCGAGAACGTGATTGTTAAATCTGAAAATAGTATTTTTGTAGTAGGACACCCTGTATATAGTCATACGCTACCTCTAACAGTACACTCCTTTGCGAAATTACAACGGACCTTCCCATTCACGATTTCTCCAGAATGGTATGCTTCTTTTTCAAGTTCGATTTTACAGGAGCGAGAACTAAACATTTTGGGTGATGATGGTAGTACGTAGTCAACTATCTTATCACGATAAGTCTTATCGTCACTGTTTTCAATCACACTGAAAGTAGATATGGCGCCCTAATTCGCAGGTTCAGTATAATTCAATAACATTATACCCTTTGTTTGTAAATTCCATTTTTGGTGTACACCAAAAATTCAAATTAATTCAAGTTAATTCAAATTAATTTACGTTAATTGAAATTAATTCACGTTAATTAAAATTAATTCACGTTAATTCAACTGAATTCACGTTAATTCAAGTTCCATGGCTTAAGTTGATTTTTGTAATTGCCGAATTTTTGATAACATAATGAGAAATACAACTGAAAATGTACTAATTTGTATATCATTAGATGAAAAAAAAATCATCTTTCGATTGGTGTCATTATAAACCCTCTAAGTTAGTATGGGGTGGGGAGCAACGATCTGCAAAAAACGTTTTTCCCACGTTAACTGCCTATGTTCGGTTTTGAAACATTAGCTCGGTAGAAATGCAAACAAATTTAAATTAATTCGGGCCAGTTCAGAATAATTCACGTTAATTCTAATTAATTCACTTTAATTAACGTTAGTTCAAATTAATTCACGTCAATTCAAATTAATTCCCGTTAATTCAAATTAATTCAGAGGAGTGTATGTTTTGCAGTAAAAATGGATCATTGTCGAGCGAGCCGAAGGTGAGTTCGGCAAAATCCAGGACCTGTTTCTTTGAATTGAAGCCCAAATTCAAGCCGCTTGCGTTGTTTGTGTCGAACTTCAACATCAACATCAAATCTTCCTTTGCTGGTTGGGATTCCATACACCCCAGGACCCTTAGTGCTACTTTCTCTGCATTACTTTTTAGGAGAAGACAATATGATGATCCTTTCCTAAGAAGTGGGTACGATGTGAATCGTGTAATACCTGCGGGTCTGAGGGGAGTATGAAATACCCTCCACCACACGATGGTTTTAATGCGGTGGGTCCTGGAGTAACCCCCCACCATCACACGATGGCTCTAAAACCATTTTCCGAAAGTCATCATGAGAGAATTGTGTGCTATAAGACAAGTATTATTGTGCTTTCCTTTGCTGTGGGGTTTTAAAATCTTTGGCGCTTTTTAGATAGTAGTCTAGCTCCGCCCTTAAAGTGCTGAAAGTTTCATCAAGGCTTTATGAAGGCTCAAAATAATTCGCAAAGGCTCTTAGAGGCCCTGGATTGTTCCGAAGTCACCTTGGACTCTCTCGATAATGACCCCCGTTAACACTTTTCCCCACAAATCATTTAGTCCTCAGGACTCCATGTTACTTCTTGGGGAGGGTTCATCACATAGTCTTCTTCTAAAGAGTATCCCACTCCCCAGCAAAGGAAGATTTGATGCTTCGGCTCGCTCGGCACAAACTACACAAGCGCTTTGAATTCGGGCTTCAAATTCAAAGAAAGCGGGCTATAAAAACTTTATGTAGTAATGTAGTAATCCCACTCTCGGGGATGGCGCCCTGATGTCGATTAGAACTTACCTTTTTACAAATAAATTTGCAAAAATTCGCTAAAAAGGATCGTTCTACCTCAAATTTACGGACATACGAATCAAAGATATACCTCCTTTCAATGCGCTAGGAAATTGCTGACAAGCCCTTATCTTGATAAGGTAGTTGACTCATCATAACCGACTATCCCAAATCATACATTAGTCAGCACCCAATATATGAAGATGTTCGGCTTTCGTTCCTGTGAAATCGCATTAGAAAAAGAAGCGTACCGTCCTGGAGAAATTGTGAATGGCAAGGTACTTTATAATTTCGCAAAGGAGTGTACTGTTAGAGGTAGCGTATGGCTGTATACAGGGTGCCCTACTACAAAAAAGCTATTTTCAGATTTGACAATTAAATTATCCGGAAAGGCATGGGTTCGATTGGAAAAAGGAAGCCATAAACATTCCAGAATTGAGCGCGTTTTGAAAATGACATCAACCTTACTAAAATGTGAGTGCCTGTGTAGCCTCAACCGTTTGCCTAATTCCTCTAGTAACAGGTCAAACAAACTTCAGTCCGGGAGATTACGTTTACCCGTTTACGTTTACTTTACCTGATAACTTACCATCTTCAGTGGAAGCGTCATACATAACATCGTGGGGAAGTATAAAGTACAAGGCGAAAGCAAAGATCGATAAAAAATGGAGCCTAGACTGCAGTTGCGAGAAGGTCTTTAACATGTTGCCAAGGAACGAGTTTAACTTAATGAGTGCTGTAAGTTTTTCCACGTACAAAAGATACTACTAGCACTTTTTTAGTCCCCAGTCGAACGCACGATAGAGAAAGTTCCCACTTCGATCAGCATCAACGGGCCAATCCAATTCACAGTGAGCATACCGGACGATCGCTACGTTCCCAATCAAGCGGTTCCATTCGTAGCGAGAGTTAAGAACGATTCCAGCAATACGGTGAAAGAGCTGCGTTTTGAAATTGTCCAGGGCTTTACTTTCCATATTCTTCATCATGAGAGAGAATTTACGGTGTCCGGTACCGACCAGGTGACCGTGATTGACAGTGTCGTGGAGCCAGGCTCTGAGAACCTCTGGAATCTTCAGCTCGCAATTCCCGAAGACATGTTCGTCGGCACGACGTCCAACTGTAAGATTATGAAGGGATTCTGGAAACTGAAGGTTCGTACCAACGAATCGGTTCGTAACGATTATCGTTCACGAACGATCTTAAAGACTTCCTGTATCGTTTTGTTTACAGGGTGAGGTGTGTCTGCCTTTACCGCACAGGAATATCCGTATTGAGATACCCCTCCGTCTTGGACCTAGACTCGAATCTGAAAAAGCTTAGTGCTGATCCAGTAAGGATTGGTCATTTAAATTAAATCTCTGGTTTTTCTATCAACAGTACAGTTTTTGATTTGCGTCTAACCCCCACCCTCTTCACCGTGATCAGCTAAAACAGCTGAGCAGTCAACATCTTAGATATAAATTCCAAAAGGTTGCAACGGACTGCCAGACTTAGATGATAAGTTTCAAGATAATTCAACTCCGTGACCTTTCTGAGAAATGTTCTTAGGAAATTTTGAGGGAAGGACCTTAAAGTATTTCCGCCAAGGTAACATAATTGATCTAAAATTCTTCTAAAAAACTGCTTTTAAGGGTCAGCCGAAAAGCTTCCCAAAAACCCTTTAGTGTACTCTTTAAGGCCAAAGGTTTTCAATTTTTTAATTAGAGCTTATAGGGCTTTTCAGTGATTTTGAAAGTCCTCAAGAATGTTACAAAGTCGTTAACACGGCTTGAGAGTATTTTAGATTCGTGCCTTCATTCATTTTTTAAGAATCTCGCATCCGGAGTCTTTGGGAGCTTTTGTGAATTTTTGACAGTCTCCAAAAGAACCTTTTTGGAACTTTAGGGACCTTCATCATTGAATTCAAGGGCGGAGCCTTTATGGTTTTTGGTATCTTGGTGCCTAAAAGTTGTCGAATCTCTTTATGCGCCTTTTAAAATGTACATAAATAAGCCTTTACGAAGGGTTTTTTATTTTCTTTATTTTATAGTGGCCGGAGTGTTAGTTAATTAGCTACTCTTCCCACTCAACCCACTATACAATCACAAACAGCCATTCCTTACCTGGGATTCGAACCTAGGACCCTTGTAGCCAAAGTTAGAGCTACTAACGTAAACTCATCTGAGCTACGCACTTCGGTAAGGCTTTTCAAACCACAAAGCAAAGAAGGACACGATAATTCTTACCTTGTAGCACCCAGTTCTCGCATGATGACAGTTTGGAAATGGCAATAAAACCATCGTGGTGGCGCTTTTCCCCTAAAACAATGTCTATCCCTGAAACACAGTGCAAGGGAGAAGCTGCTGTCAGCTCTCGGTCGATTACCATATACACCCATGCCCGTTCCCCTTTCCGTTAGGGACCCCCAGGGTTGAGGAACGGGACGATCTGAGTTCAGCGATTGTTTCCTGTCTGGGAGAGTGACTTTATAACCCTTTGGTCTTAGTAAGTAAGCCCGGATCACATCCCTTCTTGAGAGGAGGGATCGGACCTGAGGGTTTCCTCCCAGATTAGCCCATGGCCAAGGACGCCTCGATCCTTCCACTCGTCCCAGTTATTTAGCCGTATGAAAGCCTTCAGAGCTCTGCTTCCACAGCAAATTGTAAAGGCTCTAGTCCCAGAAAAGCCTCCATGGCTAGAGTTGGCGTGGTTTTCATGGCTTCAGTGACTCCCAGGCAGGCGAGCCTCTGGACCTTGCCCAGCTGCTTCCTGCGGATGGCAGGCCACCATGCAAGTGCACCGTATGGTATTATTGGAGAGACAAGCCCCATGTACAGTCAAAAGCCCTTCTAAATGCCCATAGCCGTACAGAGGCCTTTTTGCTTATTCGTTCAATGTGCCCGTTCCATGTCAGGCGAGAGTCTATGATGACCCCAAGTGTTTCACTGACCTAGTCAGATCCAGTTGACGTTCTCGAAGAGCGAGCCCATCAAGGTCCGCTCTCCTTCTATGGCCGGCCAACTCAGAGATCTCTCGGTAACCACATGAGCACGCGCGAAGGACCCTATCTGGCTCGTATGAACGTCCCCCACAGACCCGGCCTTTGTGTGCTCCAGAACCTCTGTGCTGCTTCTCGGGTTACCTTGAACCAGACCCTGGAGTGCTTCCCTCCGATCTGATACGCTGGATCCCTGATATCGGGTTGCCCCCCCCCCCCCCCCGGCCACCGACTCAGACACCGCAAGGTCCACCTGATCCGAGACTTTACCCTCGAGCTGGGGCTTCCTAGCCATCGCCTTCTGCGCTTCAGTCTTATTCTTCTGGTGAATAATAGCTGGTCCACCACCGAGTCCTTGAATAAGGACCTGCGTTGGAGCCGTCCTCTCTTTCGAGGAGCCCTTGTGAGTGTCCGGATTGTGAGTCCAGAAAGGGTTTGAAATCGATCATACAAGTCCCAGGTAGTGCGAAAATGGGGTCTCACCTGGGCAGAGCTGCTTGCCCAGGGCTTGACTGCCAAAACCCTCCCGAAAGAAAGTAGGCACTTCTCGGAGGCCGCTCATTATTCGAGAGGCGCCGTTATCGACACTGAACCCCAGTCCCCGGCACAGCCGCCAACACCTTGACCTGGGGGATTGGCCCACGGCGACTACTTTCGTGGCTATCGTCTCGGTTTCAGCCCCGACGAGCCACTTTGTAATCGTCACACACCGAAACACGAGTCACTTTACGATCATTCAGGTGTCTGTGTGAGCCGTCCCTTATCCGCCATCCAGGGACGCGTCCGATGGGTGCCTCCACCGCACGGGGTACTATCACATTCAGTTCTCTCACGATGACTTTCTAAAAACAGCAATAGGTACAACCCTCACGGTACTTTTTGGGAAAGGTTCATCACATTGCCTTCTCCTAAGAAGCATCGCATAGAACATAGCCCCATGAGGTATGGCGGGTATGGAATACCCCCCTCCCCCCCACGCGAAGGAAGATTTCATGGCAATTGTTTATACCCACACCACAAAGAAGACTCAATAATGGTTATACCTTATAATAACAATCCCTCATGATGATTTTCTGGAAATGGCAATACAATTATCGTGGTCTCGGTGGAGGTATTCCATACCCCCCAGCCTACCGATAATACTTTTCCCCACAAAATGTCCAGTCTCCGGAATTCGCATACTTTATCGAAAGAGATCATCAGATTGCTTTCTTCTAAGAAGTATTGCAGAGAGCATAGTACTTGCGTGGGGGGGGGGGGGTTTTCCATGTTTTTTCCATCAACCAGATCCCAGAATGTTAAACTCTTTCATTGTGCAATAAGTTCGTTTTCATCGCGTAAATTGGAGTTGTGTTCGGTTAAGGACGGATTAATTAAACGCGCTGGGTTAATTTTCGCCACAAAAAATCCAGCTGTTTAACAGAAGCATATTAAACGTGATTGCTTGAATGTCTGAGTGGTATGGTATAGACTAACCCCCCCCCCACCAACCAAATTTCTAGAAAAATTCCAGCAAAAAAGGGCTCGATAATATCTTTACCTTATTATAACACTCAGTTTCCTCGTGATGACTTTCTCGAAATGACAATAATTCATCGTGTGCTGGGGGGTATCGACCCCCTGTAACACTTTTCCCCACAAAACCCTCTCCCCTCCCCAGCAAGAAAGGAAAGTTTGATGATAATTTCCGAATGATTCATGTTAAAAGCGCCAAGGCTTTAAAGGTACACAGGACTCGCTGGTATCCTTACCTTACAACACTCAGTTCCCTGGTGGCGACCTTATGGAAATGGCAATAAAACCATCGTGTGCTGAGGGGGGGGGGGGTTATTCCATCCATTCCAAACCCTCTGTAATACTTTCTCCCACAAAACTTGTTACTTTTTAGGAAAGGGTCATGAGATTGTTTCCTCCTAAGAAGACCGGAGTGTGCT